AACAGGATATATCAGCTGATGGCTGAGAAGTGAGCATTAGAATATAGCTAACAGCTGGAGACTGAGCTGCTGTGGCAGTGGAGACACATATATTTGTTCCCTATTCGGGGTCTCTGTGCGCCATGCCCATCTGGTTACCCGATGGCGAAGCCAGCGTTGAAGCGGTCTCATATGAACAATTTGAGTGGCGGAATAGTGGCTACAAATGTCAAATGCCCCAGGAGCCTCTGAAAAACATCAGTGAGACCACTGCAACTGCCAAATTGAGTGATCAGATAGAGTGTCTTCAGTCTTGTAAGAGGCTCTGTAGCGAAATTCTAATGCTCGCTTCTCAGCCATCAGCTGATATATGCTGTTAATGGACACACAAACGTTGTAGTTCCCATGAAGGGGAAGTGCAGTATTCACTACAAATGTACTTTCTACACAACAAAAAAATTCAACTTAAGCGAAAAATTTGTGTGAGGTGAGAAACTTCCTTTGAGTAATCTAGAGCTAGTGACACAATGTGCGTGTTATCTTTGCGTTTGATGTGAACCAAGCATTTAGACACTCAAGATACGTTTTTATTTCAAATGAAGTGGTATACTTGATCATTTTAGCTCACACATCATTTACATAAACCGCATTTATTATGTTATTGTACATAATATTATCCCACACTACTAAATTAAAGCTGTTGAACACATACATATGTTGCTGGTGCTTCTGGGCAGATGTCCACTGTGATGAGTCAAAACATCATCGAGAAGCTGCACGGCCTGTCTGTCATCTCACCTCTGCTGAGGTCTGGAAATCTGGGTCTACAGAAGACCGCCATGTCCTTAGTGGGCAACATGTCCCGGGTGTCATCTCTACGGCGAACTATGGGTAAGAGTTATGACAACAAGCCTAATACCCACCTCTAACTCAAAATAATCCAATATATACTCTCATTCAGTTATTAGTACAGTAACGATACACTGGGATCAAATTGAGATCAAGCGGTGAACCGATAATACTGCACATGATTCAGTAAACCAAATACAAACAGCAAATAACAGCCTGCTGTGACTGAACTAAACCTGAATAACAGCACCGCGAGTAAACTGAGGGCTTTAATGAGAGGATCTGATGAAAAAACATAAGTTTATTTCATAACAGAAAGTCGAAATGGACTTTAAATAATGTAATGTAATGTGTATTTATATGGTGCATTTACTGTGTTTGGCTCACCACACACCAGCTGTGTTACACAGTGATAGCTGATTGTTTTGTTATTGTTTTTTGTTGATGTTTCTTTGTATTTGTATGATCCCAACAATGATCCCAACCTTTTTGCATATTCTAATTAAAAAAATAATAATAAAAAAGAGACAGTGATAGAGCCAATTCGGTGGATGGGGATGATTCGGAGGCCATGACAGGTAACGCCCCGTTCACACGGGGCTTCAGCGTCAACGCTTGACTGAAGGCATGTCTGAAGTCGGGGCTAAAGCGATCGTCATAGCAGCGTCAGCCAATGAAATTCAGTCAGCAATAGGTCACTGTCTAGCTGGTGTATTTGCATACAGCGATCTGATTGGCTGACGCTTCCATCGGCGCTTGACGCTGATGCCCCGTGTGAATGGGGCATAAGGACCGATTGATGGACTTTGGCTAGGACACCGGGGTTACACCCCTACTCTTTACGAGAAGTGCCATGGGATTTTTAATGACCACAGAGAGAAAACATGTGTCCTCTGAATACATTTTAAAAAAATGTATTTAAAAAAGTTTTTATTTTACAATATTTATTTTGTTGATTTTGAATCTTGCACCTGACTATTTAGGGAAAAAAAACTAAAACTAATACTGAAACTAATAAAAACTAAACTAAATAATTTCAAAATATAGAAACTAATGAAAACTAGTAAATATACCTCTAAAACTAATTAAAACTAACAGAATTTGAAAAAACAAAAAGTTAAAACGAAACTAAAACTAATGGAAAATCCAGAACTATTATAACCTTGGTGACAGTGCATTGATGATGACCAAAAACATTGACTTATAGTAAAAAAGTAGCAATTTTACCCAATAAATCCATCAATAGTATCTACTGATTTTTGTATAGTCAATCAAATGAACTTAAATAATTAAAAAATGCAACAAATATTTGTTTGAGCCTGAATTACAAAACCAAATTTAAAACAATTTCAGTATTAGTTTTTCTTAAGTTGCACACTACTTTGGTCATATCTAAAAATTATAACTACATTCATTCATCTTGTCGGCTTAGTCCCTTTATTAATCCGGGGTCGCCACAGCGAAATGAACCGCCAACTTATCCAGCAAGTTTTTACGCAGCGGATGCCCTTCCAGCCGCAACCCATCTTTGGAAACACATTCACACATTCACACACACTCATACACTAAGGACAATATAGCCTACCCAATTCACCTGTACGCCATGTGTTTAGACTGTGGGGGAAACTGGAGCACCCGGAGGAAACCCACCGCAGAGAGAACATGCAAACTTCACACAGAAACGCCAACTGAGACGAGGCTCGACCTTCTTGCTGTGAGGCGACAGCACTACCTACTACACCACTGCTTTGCCCCATAACTACATTGTATAAATAATAATATAACTATAGGCCTACAGCATGCTAACATTCAAAAACAAAATGACGTGATATCACAGCCTAGTCTTCTGACTGAGTGCATCTTAAAAGACATTAATGTCACTTCTCATAGAGCTCTGCTTACGCATGCGGAGTGAAACAGGTGTAATCTGGGCCTCTCACATGGGTTGATAGTATTGCACTTTACCTGCACATTGCTCTATGTCATTGACGAGAATGGTGTTGTTGTCAACCACAGCTGCTGAAGTCCTTCCTATTGTGACCTCTTACCTCACGGGTGTGACAATGAAAATGATCAAGTCTGACAGCATCATCTCTACAGCCTGCCGCGTGATGAACACGCTCATGCTAGCAGAGCCGGACACTAGCAAGAAGCTGCTGAATGCTAAACTTGTTGAGTCTCTGAGCTTGGTGAGCACAAACACGTAAGTAATTTCAAAGGAAAATCCATATATGAACGTAAAACTATCACGTTGGCAAACTCCAACAAAGGATGTTTTTTTTGACCAATGAGTTTTGCGATAACACCCATATATGAGAGGTTTGCTATAAGAGTGTAGGCCTACTGGTGAAAGACCATGATATGAGCCTTTAAATTTCCTGCAGGTTATTCGAGACAGCCTATAAAGATGCAGGAGTTCTTCTTTGGAGTTTGTGGGGACAAAAGGACATTAAGAGTGTGTTGAAAGAGGTGAGACTTAAACCACTGTCAGCAGGTAAAGCTGAGATTATTTTTACAGCAATATAGAAAAGTTTGTTGGTAGGAACTTCAGTGTTGGATTGAGAAAGCCTTGTCTGAATGTAAGAAACTGCTTTGCAAGCTATGGGTTTAACAGCAGACGTTACTAGCATAACTAGCATGTGTTCTAACATGTTCTTGAAGCATGTTTCTAACTATGTTTAGCCTGTTGTGAGTATTAATTAGCATGTTGTTCTAACATGTTTAGTTCTCTTTTAGCATGAATTAGCACATAGCATGTTTCTGGCATTGCTACCATAAATAAGCATGCTGTATTTGGTATTTTCCTAGCATGATTTACCATTAGCTACTTTTGGTAACACTTTATAATAACTACACACTATAAATCATTTATTAAGCATTAGCAAATAGTGAATTCATTATCTGTTAAGCATTAACTCTACATTAATAAACGTAAGTAAGCAATTTATAACTGCAGCTACAAATGCTCTATTTTTGACTCATAAGCACCTATATAATGTGTTTAATAATTGTATTTTCATACTTAGTTAATGATTTATTTTTCATTACTAAATTAAGTATCGCATTATTTACAAACCAGTTGTATTTAAGAGTAGTTGAGGGTTTTTAGGATCATTCAGAATGAGTTAGTAAATGATTAATAAACTACTGAAATCAACATTTAGATGTCTTATTATTCAGGCATATACTAATAGTTAACTAATATGTTAGTGAATGCTTTATAAATTCAACTTCATGCAGTTTTGTGACGTAATCTAAAGTGAGGACTATTCATGCTTTATAAATCCCTTATAAATGACTATTAAAGGCTCAGTATCAAATGAACAATAATCTGTGCAATCTTTCTAAAAAGTAAAATTACTTTAAAGTTTAAACATTGCAAAATAACAGGAGTGTCAAAATATGACATCCAACTGGATAAAACAACAACAATATTATAATTTAACAATATAATAAGATGGAATGTTTAAACTCTACAGTGATTCTATTTTAGATCAGGTTGCAAATATCTATTTTTCATTTGAAGTACAGTTTCATTTGTGTATCTTTACATGAAGAGAAATGAATAATGCATTGTTTTCCTGTTTATAATTTAACTGAGCCTTTATTTGTCATTTATAAGGGATTTATAAAGCATGAATAGTCCTCACTTTAGATTAGGTCACAAAACTGCATGAAGTTGAGTCAATAAAGCATTTATTTACATATATTAACCATTAATATATGCCTGAATAGTTTATTAATCATTTACTAACTCATTCTGAATGATCCTAAAAACCCTCAACTACTCTTAAATACAAACAGTTTGAAAATAATTAATTACTTAATTTAGTAATGAAAAATAAATCATTAACTAAGTATGAAAATACAATTATTAAACACATTATATAGGTGCTTATAAGTCAAGAGAATTTGTAGCTGCAGTTATAAATTGCTTACTAACACTTATTAATGTAGAGTTAATGCTTAACAGATAATAAATTCACTATTTGCTAATGCTTAATAAATGATTTATAGTGTGTAGTTATTATAAGTGTTACCCTACTTTTCTGTTTATGAAATGTTTAAGCACATGGCTAATGGTTTGTTAACATGTACTTGCTTATTATAGAGCAACCAACAGACAGAAAAATGTTTTGTCACCTTTTTGCTTGTTGCAATTTTTATACTTTTCCCCCACTACAATAGAGCATGTGTGTGTGTGTGTGTGGGTATATATATATATATAAATCTCACTGGCCACTTTATTAGGTACACCTGATGCAAATTTCTAATCAGCCAATCACATGGCTGCAACTCAATGCATATAGGAATGTAGACATGGTCAAGACGATCTGCTGCTGCAGATCAAATCGCGCGTAAGAATGGGAAAGAAAGGTGATTTAAGTGACTTTGAACGTGGCATGATTATTGGTGCCAGTCTAAGTATTTCAGAAACTGCTGATCTACTGGGATTTTCACACACAACTATCTCTAGAGCCTACAGAGAATAATTAATGCCTTATTGATGCCAAAGGTCAGAGGAGAATGGCCAGACTGGTTGGAGCTGAAAGAAAGCCAGCAGTAACTACCCACTTATTAAAACAGAGGTATGCAGAAGAGCATCACTGAACGCACAAAATGTTGAACCTTGAGGCAGATGGGCTACAGCAGCAGAAGAACACACAACAGGAACAGGAAACTGAGGCTACAATTCGAACAGGCTCAGCAAAATTGGACAATAGAAAATTGGAAAAACTTTGCCTGGTCTGATGAGTCTCGATTTCTGCTATGACATTCGGTTGGTAGGGTCTGAATTTGCCATAAACAACATGAAAGCATGGATCATCGTGCATTATATCAATGGTTCAGGCTGGTGGTGGTGGTGTAATGGTGTGGAGGATATTTTCTTGGCACACTTTGGACCCAAGTACCAATAAAGCATTGTGTCAACGCCACAGCCAACTTGAGTATTGTTGCTGATCATGTCCATTCCTTTATGACCAAAGTGTACCCATATTCTGATTTGCAGGAGGATACATGCCATGTCATAAACCGCGAATCAGCTCAGATTGGTTTCCTCGACATGACAATGAGTTCACTGTACTCAAATGGCCTCCACAGTCATCAGATCTCAATCTAATAGAGCACTTTTGGGATGTGGTGGAATGGAAGATTCACATCATGGATGTACAGCCGACAAATCTGCAACAACTGCATGATGCTATCATGTCAATGTGGAGCAAAATCCCTGAGAAATTTTTCCAGCACCTTGTTGAATCTATTCCATGAATGATTAAGGTAGTTTAACGGGCAGGGTCCAACCCAGTACTAGTAAGGTGTACCTAATCAAGTGTCCAATGAGTGTAAATTTCTGGAGTGAAATGAATCTGTTTCACATAAATTGATAACATAACACATCTTAAAAATAAAAGTGGTTGATGGTTTTTCTTCCGAAGCCCTTTGTGGAAAGAAACTGAGATAAATGGTTAATGATTATTTCAAAGGAAGAGTGAAGGTGTGTTTTCACGTTTCCTCATTCTGAAAGTCCTTAAGATCAGAGGGCAAAGAAAAGGAAGCCACTTCTGGTTCATAAGAAAGAAAGGTGTGAAAGGGTGTGTTCACACATGTGCCATTAACTTTTTTTTTTCCTGCATCAGGGTAAAAAAAATTCCCCGTTTTTTTTTTTTTTTTTTTTTTTTTTTGCCTGTAAGCTTGTTTACACATTAAATAAGACACGCAGCACACACACACAGTCTTCCAGGCTTTGACTTGTACTCCACCCAAACCCTGGAAGAGGTTCAGCGGGATCCAGAGAGGAATCCAGGAATACTAGTTTCTCTCTGCTTGTTGCCCCACCCACAACAGTGACATCTGACATCGCATTGGTCCATATCTATCTATCTATCTATCTATCTATCTATCTATCTATCTATCTATCTATCTATCTATCTATCTATCTATCTATCTATCTATCTATCTATCTATCTATCTATCTATCTTTTTTCAAACTGCCTAATCTGCACTAAATCCATCCATCCATTATCCTATCCATCTTTCCTATTATATATATATATATATATATATATATATATATATATATATATATATATATATATATATATATATATATATATATATATATATTCCCCTGCAACACCTTATTTGGATTTAAAAGATGGTTATAAAGTCGTGCACATACATAAATAAGCAAGCTAATGAAACTGACCTGCACAAAATACCAACAATTTTGTCCAGGCCAGTTTCATTAGCTTGCTTATTTTTTACTTCTGTTGACATCAAATTCAGAGGTAAAATCTGATTATCATTAGTTTATTTTCAATATTTTTTATTACTCATAAAATGTTTTAGGTTTCATGTTATTTCAGTGAATTGTTGGTACCCTTCCATTGAAGAAAGAAAAGGCCGCTGTGGTCAGCCTGTTAAATATCCACAATTGACTTGAGTATTTCTGTCATGGAGCCTTCAGACAGGCATGTGTGAACCCGTGATCATTGGCAGCGATTCAGTGTAAAACCACCACATGCATTCACTTCTGAGAGCTTTCACACTGTTACATGTGATGGTGATAAGTGTCATTATGAAGGGCCATTCATGCGCCATTTATAGTTTTGACCTTTTATTGTTTTGCAGCAAGGGTTGGACAAGAACATATTTATTAACCCCGCCACTGCTACAGCGTACCAAAGAGCAACAGACAATCAGAAGAATGGACACTGAGAGATGTGCAAGTGAGCTGAAACCCCCCCCCCGTTTTATTTGAATTTACTTTGATTCAGATCACTAATGTTGTTAAGACTGTTTTTTTAATAGTCTTTGTTTCAATTTTAGCGTAGGTCTTCATGAAGACACATGGCACAGCTGGATTTACAAATACTGCCCTTCCCTGCATGTTTTGAATAATATTATGGGTATATATGTACATATTAGATTTAAAGGGGGAAAAACAGATAAGTTGCTTTAAAGGGATAGTTCACTCAAAACTGGGGTCACTCTTAGATGAGTGAAATCACAGCATTGTATATTGCTTTGCATAAAATAACATTTTTAACAGTACGTTATTAAATTTACATATCAAATAAAAAATGTTCTATTAAGAATTGCGAATGCACTAATTGAACACTGTTAAAAGCTGATTTTTGAAGATTATAAATGTATTCTATATTTATAATCTTATTCCAGAATTGTGGGTGCCTTTTAACATGTGCCATTAATTTTATTTTTATACAGGATTGATATGTAATCACGATAACAGAGTTGACATGTTCTTTTCATTTTCATCATATCATTGTTTTAAAAAGTGAATGAGAAATTCCCTGATATATTCAATCAATTCAATTCAGCTTTATTTGTATAGCGCTTTTACAGTGTAGATTGTGTCAAAGCAGCTTCACATAAATGGTCATAGTAACTGGAACAGTGTAGTTCAGTTTTTAGTGTTTAAGTTCAGTTCAGTTCAGTTTAGCTCAGTTCAGTGTGATTTAAAATCATTACTGAGAGTTCAAACACTGAAGAGCAAATTCATCTACCAATCCTGAACCATGCGAGGCAGTGGCGACAGCGGAGAGGGAAAAAAAACTTCACCTGACATGAGAGTGAAGAAAAAAAACCTTGAGAGAACCAGACTCAGTCGGGCACGACCATTTTAATTTCTCCGCTGGCCAAAAGTCTAGTGCAGAGCTTCAGTCACCGCGGTGGAGGCTGTATTATATTACAATACCTATGTTTTTAAAAGTCTTAAAATGTCTTAAATTTCAAAAACCAAAATTTAGCTCTTACAAACTCTAAAATCCACTGAAATATTTGTGAAAAGTTGTGGGTCTTAAATAATTTTAAACAGGTCTTCATTTTCGTATGTCCATGTAAAGTTATACTTAAAAGTCTACTTTCCTAAAGTCTAAAACTCCCATCTAATGACTAACAATATGGTTCAAAACAAGTTTTAAGAAACGTTTATTTATTGACTCTGTTTACTTCTTAAAATGCAGTTTTGGGCAGTAGCGTCGCTACAAGTAGTGACAATACTACATTTCTCAGTAGCGTGGCGGTAGCGTCACTAATTTTTAAATCAAATAGCTTTTCGGGAGCGAAGCTATTTTATTAGTAGCGCAGTAACGTCCACACAAGCTATATTTCTAGATCGTGGATCAATAAGTGACGGCACCGACATTCACAGAGCTGTGAGGCTAGCCGACGGAAACCGATGGAAGTAAATCATATGATGGCGAGAATGACGATTTCTTCTTCTCGGTTTAAGGCTGTTCGACAACAAAGGTTTTGGTGTGTTACAGCCACCTCTGTTTGGCGACGTCGCCAACCGAAACTTGCCAAAGATGACTGAGGGCGCACTCGCACTATGTACAGTTGCCTTGAACCGGACCAAAGCACGCTTGTTCCCTCTCCCGTCTTCCCTGATGGCCAGCACTCACATTACATTCAGGGCCGGGCATGCTTACGTCATTAATGTTGCACTGTTTAGTAAAGCGCTTTCGCTCAGCACAGTGGAGATTTCTTTAGTTATATTGTTTTAGTCGTCTGGGATGCGGTTACATGCAGTCAAATATTTCGCAGAACAGATCAGCCACTTTTGGCGCTCATAAACAATCATAAAGTCCTCATGCTGCAGGAATTAGGAGGTTTGCTGAAGGTGCAGCTGTCGTGCAGTGAGGGGTTTGCATCTTTAATAAACTACGACAGTTTGAGTTCATTGAACAGTAAGGTTGATAAATAAATCCATATCAAACAGTCCCTTTAAAGTAACCTCTCGTCTTCAGTTTTGGGCTCAGGCACGTTTTGCACTAACACTACAAGCCTACCGCACCAATAACCAAGTGAACCGCGCTCAGGCACACCTTTTCCAAGCGAGACAGTTTTTTTTTTTTTTTTTTTTTTGGAGATGTAAGATATACCCACAATTCTAGAATTGCATTTTTTTAGATAATGGAAATCAGTGAAAACCAAATCTTATTTACAAAAAATGCTCAAATTAATTGATTTAAAATATCTCTAATTTAGCAGACCTTTTCCAGACAGATGTTATTATATTTAAGGGTGTTTTAATATCATTTTCTTTCCGATTCTCAGTCCATTTAATACTAAAGAAACTGTGTAATCATTAATCAGTTTTTACCCTTTTAAATCTCTATTTGTGGGATTAAAGCTGATGCTGTGCCTAATATATTTTCATCTCTGCATACTGCCAGTATAGGCCTGTTTAATGCTTAATCCCAAACACACATTTATCATGGGAAACTGTACACTTGACAAACTTGCACTTCTGGTCCTGCAGAGCAGTAATTCCATTAGCTTTTTTACTTCAGTGTTGCGCATTCAGAAATGTTTGGCTGTATTGGTAAAATAGGATCATAAATCATGAGCTTTAGTACGTTTTTGTAGATTTTTTTTTTTTTATTGGTTGTAGTTTTTATTTAGAAGTGCAGTTCTCTTACTGTACAGAAGCACCATCAACTTGAAGTCATTCATTTTTCCATTGGATCTGTCTTAGCCACAAATGATTCCTTAATAAATAAATAAATAAATAATATATTTAAATAAATAAAAATAAACAAACAAATAAATAAATAAATATAGAAATTTTAAATATATATTTTAAATACATAAATAAACAAACAAACAAATAAACAAATAAATAAATAAATAAATAAATAAATAAATAAATAAATAAATAAATAAATAAATAAATAAATAAATAAATATTATTTTATTGCAAAAGACCAAACTTTTTTAAGTACTTTTGGGTATGTTTTCATGTTTCAAGGTATTAGATATGTATTGGTGTAAACATGGCTGGTTTCCTCTTCACACTCCTTTTAACTTTAAGCCTTATTTCTGTTGGCTGTTTGATCAGTGTGTGTGTGTAAGAGAGAGAAATGTTTGATTTGTGAATGTTATTTTTTATTTGACTTGAGTTTGGCTGGATTGTGTTTGTGGAAAAAATGTCATTTAATGTCATTTTATTATTTTCTAAAAGATGTAATGTTGTTTCAAGAGAGATGCATGGATAAATGACAAAATATTTTTGTATTAAAAAAATGTAAAATATTATATATGGATGTGTAAAATTAGATTTTGCATCTGTAAACCAAAAATGTAAATGGCAATCTTGCAAAAAAAAAAAAATCTGAAATAAAAGTTCAGTTCAGCAGGAAATGCTGCAGTACAGCGTGTTATTTTCATGAGCGTGTTCACTGTGAATGCTAGATGGAGATGTATTACAATTGTGATTGTCTTTCTGTAATAATTGATCAATTATTTACAGCATAAACAAATACTGCCAAACACAGCTAATTATGTTAAATATGTTTTTATTGCTCTTGAGTTATACTATACACTTGATAATCATTCATAATTTATATGTTAGATATGAAATGAAACACGTTTTTGCCATGACGTTCCCTTTAATAGTAGGCTACTTACACACTCACCGGCCACATTATTAGATACACCTGTCCAACTGCTCATTAACAAATTTCTAACCAGACAATCACATGGCAGCAACTCAGTGTATTTAGGCATGTAGACATGGTCAAGATGATCTGGTGCAGTTCAAACCGAGCATCAGAATGGGGAAGAAAAGTGATCTGCTGGGATTTTCACACACAATCTTTAAGCCTCCTATCCACTGCACATGACAAACGATGAGCGACAGACCGGAAGTCATTCATTTCCAATGGAGAGCAGTCCAGGAGCTGCGTAAAGTTCCGATTATCTCCATATGCGTAAAATTCGGATCCGATTTGAGCTGCGGATCCGTTGAAATATTTGAACTCCTGCGACTAGAACGGTTGCGTTAACATTAACATTTCTAAATATATAATAAAAATAAAAATAAATATTTTTAATGTTGTCTCCACATTCCTTTCAATATTTTAGCGGTCTATGAGTTTCTAGTTTTCATTTATTCATTAAACCATGTAAACGCACAGAGGATATAGGCTCTTGCTTTTGCACTCCTTTATTTCAGACACTGTTAGAATCAGCTTCTCTCCCATGGTGCACGACAACACTGAAAATACTGTGCGACTGCCACAAGGGGGCATATTTCGACAGTCGTGACCAAATGTCGTGTGTAGTGAAAAGGCGGCTTTAGAGATTTAGGCGGCAGTTCTGTGGGCACAAATGCCTTCTTGATGCCAGAGGTCAGAGGAGAATGGCCAGACTGGTTTGAGCTGATAGAAAGGCAACAGCAACTCAAATTACCACTCGTTACAACCGAGGTCTGCCGAAGAGCATGACTGAATGCACAACATGTCCAACCTTGAGGCAGATGGGCTACAGCAGCAGAAGACCACACTTGGTGCCACTCATGTCGGCTAAGAACAAGAAATTAAGGCTACAACTCGAACAGGCTCACCAAAATTAGACAATAGAAGATTGGAAAAACGTTGCTTGGTCTGATGAGTCTCGATTTCTGCTGCGACATTGAATGATGGTGATGGTGTAATGGTGTAGGGGATATTTTCTTGTTACACTTTGGGCCCATTATTACCAATTGATGTCAACCCCACAGCCTGAGAATTGTTGCTGATCATGTCCATCCCTTTATGACCACAGTGTGCCCATCTTCTGATGGCAACATCTAGCAGGATAATGCAACATGTCATAAAGCAAGAATAATCTCAGACTGGTTTCTTGAAAATGACAATGAGTTCACTGTACTCAAATGGCCTACACAGTCTCCATATCTCAATCCAATAGAGCACCTTTGGGATGTGGTGGAATGGCAGATTCGCATCATGGATGTGCAGCCGACATATCTGCGGCAACTTCCTGATGATATCATGTCAATATGGACCAACATCTCTGAGGAATATTTTCAGTACCTTGTTGAATTTACGCCACGAAGGATTGAGGAAGTTCTGAAGGCAAAAGTGTGTCCATTCCGGTATTAGTAAGGTGTCCCTAATAAAGTGGCCGGTGAGTACATAATTTTTAAAATTGCTTTGTGATGAATTTATTTACATCTGTTAAGTTGACTTAATTTGTTTTGTAGACAACATGAATGAATCTTTATTTTTAGTTTGGCTGATGCCTGTATTATCAACACTTAATATATGAAATCGTATTTACTATCGTCTATTTTTTGTGACACAAGCTATACTGACATTAACTATCACCTACTTTCCACTTCAACCTATGGACATTATTCTGGATTAACATCTATGTTGATTCTGGAACAACATTCCAATCAGCCAATCAGAATTAAAGGATAAGTTTACAGTTTATGTTAAGTTTGGGCTTCTATGTGATCGTTATCCATCCGACCCCTGCTGAAAAATCCAGCTTAAACAAGCCTAAGCTGGTTGGCTGGTTTTAGCTGGTCGACCAGGCTGGTTTTAGAGGGGTTTTGGCCACTTCCAGGCTGGTTTCCAGCCATTTCCAGCCTGGTCTTAGCTGGTCAGGCTGGGAGATGACCAGCTAAAACCAGCTTCACCAGCCTAGCCAAGCTGGGAGTCCAGCCAAAACCAGCTATATCCAGCTTACACCAGGCTGGTCAAGTTTTAGCTGGATCTGGCTGGTCATTTTCCAGCCTGACCGGCTAAGACCAGGCTGGAAATGGCTGGAAACCAGCCTGGAAATGGCCAAAACCCCTCTAAAACCAGGCTGGTCGACCTGCTAAAACCAGCCAACCAGCTTAGGCTGGTTTAAGCTGGATTTTTCAGCAGGGCATTATTCCCTGCTGATTTTGGGAATCATTTATGTTTGGTTTAGGGGTAAGGGATAGGTGTATAATACATTTTTGAACCAAAATGATGTTCCAGGATCAACATAGATGTTAATCGAGAATTGCATCCAACTTGGCAAAATCATAACGTGCTTCAACCCATACTGTGCATTTTACAATTATAATAAGTATGAGTAGTTAAAAATAAAAGCTGATTGATTGTGGAGGGAAATAAACATCCAGTTTTGACCTCAAATCAATCATTCTGACTGTGAAATGTCATTCTGGTTGACAAAATATTTCCCCAGTTGGCATCGAATTGCGTTAAACCTCAAACACATGTCTTTATAATACAGGCAGACCATGGGAAGTCATTCACCCATGGAAACGCAGTTATTTATTTATCACCGTGACTTCTGAAGAAAGCAGTGGTATTAATTGGTCGTCTTGTCTCATGTTTACCCAGGATCTCCACCCTACACTAGAAACGGTGGGCCACGAGCCAACAGACACCTTTATGAGTCACACAAATTCCTCGGAGCAATTATAAATGTTTTCCAATCCTTTCAAAATATTGGACGGCTTAAAAACTGAAATGGTAACCCAAACAACTGACACGTTTATTAATTTGCTTCTTTTCCATCTACATTTAACTTCAACTGTATGCGTTTGTTGAAAAACTTTGCATTGGCTTGACGAAGCCACAAGAATCAGCATGTTAGCATAAACTAAAACATTTCTAGGATTTTTAACACAATTATGTTGCTAAAATTAGCCAGCATTGATCATGAATTTGCAGTTTTTTAGGATCAACAACTTGTTTGTCACATGATTTAGCACATTTAATGTAAAATATTAATGCATTAGATGCCTAGCATTAAAGATGCAGCAGGAATTAACAATGCTAACATGAATTAGCATGTCGATAGCATGTTTTTAAGTTGAACTTGTATGTTGTCAGTAAAAATGTGCAAGTTGCTAGTATGAAAAAACAAGTTGTTAGCATGAATTAACATGTCAAATGCATATTTGTTACACAATCTTGTTTGTTTTCATCAACAGTTTGCACGCTTTTAGCATGAATTAGCCAGTTGCTAGAATAAATTGTCATGTTACCATGCAGCTAGCAGCAATTAACTTGTTGCTAGCATGAATAGCATGCCGAAAGCAAGCTTTCAACATGAATTTGTTGTCAGCATGTTGCTAGCATGAATTAGCATGTTGTTAATATGGATTAACTGGTTGCTGGTATGAATTGGCATGTTACCATGCAGCTAGAAGCAATTAACTTGTTGCTAGCACGAATTAGCATGCTGAAAGCAAACTTTCAACATGAATTTGTTGTAAGCATGTTGCCAGCATGAATTAGCATGTTGTTAATATGGATTAGCCGGTTGCTGGAACAAATTCCCTGCTGAAAAATCCAGCTAAAACCAGCCAACCAGCCTAGGCTGGTTTAAGATGTTTTTTTTCTGTAGGGTTGGCATGTTGGTACCAAGAACTACCATGAAGCTAACAGGAATTAACATGTTGCTGCCATATTTATAACATGAAGTTGAAAATTGATAGCCAGGGCCTGAGTGGGACTCCTTTCCAGTCCTGTGGCCTCATGTGTCAATGCTGCGTACACACAAAAACTTTGTGTACACCAGGTTTCACGCTCGCGTTTGGATTTACTAAATATGAATTATACCGTGAGAATGTGCGTTGGTCTGCTCCAACTTCATGTCTGGCGTACGTGTATTTCTTGTGTGTTTGTTTTATTTCCATTGGCGACTCCTAGAGGCAATTATGTGAAATTGCACAACACATCAACAACACGCACCAACACATGTGAAAAACATTGCTATTCATTTATAATTGATAAAATGGGTTAACTCACACAATATATGTAACTATTATGATTTAAAATATATAAAAGCATTTACAAATGTATACAACCCTAAAGCAGGTCGCACACCAGAAGCGCCGCTCGGCGCCGCCACACGGCGCGCACATGACAGTTTAAAGTATCGCACACCAGACGCGCACATTCAAATGATATTTAACATGAAACTAATCAGATGGCGCTCTGTGGCGCGGCTGAAAAATGAACTGCGTCCTGAGCCGTGGCCGGGCGCCGCCGACTTGCGGCGCCGGTGTGTTTATCCTGATAGAAACCTATGTTTAGAATTCTAAAATGCGTGGTGCTGCGCGGTGCGCCGCCGAGCGCCGCTTCTGGTGTGCGACCTGCTTAGGTCTATGGCAATGGCAGTGTTGGCCTTATTAGAGGACATTCAAGGCTCCAAGGTGGCAAGGTGCGCTTCTTGGTGAGTGATGTATTTAAAGATACTATTAGACCCCTGGTCTATAGGATACAGATGGACAAGCATGTGAAAAGCAGAGAAGTGAGTGTTTATAAATGTGCAAAAAATAGCATCGCAAACTAGAAAATCATCTAGGAGGAGAATCTGTCGACCTCTCTGACCCTGAAACCCACATGATGGCCTGAGGGAATGTGAACAGTAAAAGTCTGGGTGTGTTTAATGATCATCATTTGAATATATGTATGCTGAGCATGTATATCTATTTTTCTCACAGACTCTAATAATAGTAGTGTATTTACACAGAAATACTTTTAATGCTCAAGACCGTTTGACACCGCTTAAAATGAAAAATCAATATGAAATAAGCATGCAGTGTAAAGCTTGACAGCAGCACTGAATACAGCCATTGTTTGAGCTCATTTGCATTAGATTTGACTAGATTAGATCAGGTATTTAAAGGGGCAGTTTTCCTTGAATGTGAAAATTTTTTCACCATTATGTTTTTTTTTTCCCTTTTAAACACACAAATAAGATATTTTACACCTATTACACTCTCTCATTCACCCACACAATCATACAATACAGCAAACTAATGGTTCATAAGTTCATGTAACTTGTTAAAATGGCTTATTTCTCTGAATTTGAACATTCTTACAAACATTTGGGATAATATAAGAACATAAATAAGCAAAATATTGAAAACTGTTCTAGTCGGTTTTGGATATTTTATTGTAGCTTTAACCGAAAAACATAAAAAACAACTTTTTTTTTTCATTATTTTTATTCAGGTAAAATCTACATAGTTCAGTGAAATCTAACTGAGGGAAAATAAATTTTCAACAGTGGTCAGCTCCTCTCTTCATGATTTCGGTGGATTTGTGAGGATTCAAGTGTGTTTTTCAGCACAGCATTCACTTTCTGAGGCCTCGCTTGGTTCTTTTTGACCTATAGAGAGGGAAAAATATGTAAAACTAATAGAGCACCCAGCCAGATCTCACAAGGAAATGTCACAATTTAATGTTTATGAAAACATGTGGTTTTAAAATGTGTCCCCAAACCCGTAAACCTACCCCTCACTGGGGAATGAACGGCTTGTACTAAAATGTATGAATGATATCATACATATACAACCCGAAAAAAAGTCTTGTTGTCTATTGAAGTTTTAGGAACAACAAATAATAACTTGACTTCTAGTGGATCATTTGGTATCAGAAGTGGCTTTAATGTAAGGCAAAGGCTTCTAGATTATGCTTATTTTATCATAATAAAATATGATCATGCCTTGGTTTTTAATTAATTATTTAATTATAGGTCAGTAAGGTCTGACTTTGCTTTGACAAAAGTCTTGTCACTTTCAACAGATATAATGTCCAGTATAGAATATAAAGTCATAGTGCAGTGGAAAGTGAATTAATAATGCGTATGAATCCCATGAGCTTCGACGACTGCATCCATACATCTTTGCAGTGACTCAGATAACTTATTAATAAAGTCATCTGGAATGGTAAAGAAAATGGTCTTGCAGGGCAAAGAAGTATGAGAAGGAGCACTCTCCTGCTGAAAATTTTGCCCTCTCCTGTGATTTGTAATGTAATGGGCAGCACAAACGTCTTGATACCTAAGGCTGTTGATGTTGCCATCACATCTGCGATCTCTCGCACACCCCCATACTGAGTGTAAATCCAAACCATTATTTCTCCTTCACCAAACTTGACTGATTTCTTTGAGATACCCTCTATGCAGGTTCCAGTAGGTCTTCTGCAGTTTTGTGGTGATTTATCAGAAAAATCCACCTTTTGACACTTTAACAATGATCAACTATGATTTTTTCCTTCAAGAAAATTGACTTATCTCTGAAAGAATCTTGAGTCTATGCGGGTTCTAATAGGTGCAGTATTTGTAATAATTGGGATCAGGCCTGTGCAGAGACCTTCCAAGGGGATATGCCGCGGGAAAACTAAAGTACGGGGGGTGGGGGGTGATTTTCGCTAGGGCACTTCAGCTCATTTTGGAAGGGCACTTTCTATCCAAGACTAAAAAGGGCATGTGCACTGCACAGGTTGAGCCCTGTGTGTGCACGTGCCTGATTGGGATGCAGTTCAACAGATGATTCATCACAAAATCTGCCTTATGCCACTTTTCCAAATGATCAACTAAAAGTCAAGTTATTATTTGTAGCTCTTACAACTGGGATCGATGACAAGACTTTTGCCAGGTGGTGTATACAAATAATACGAATTAGCCACTAAAGCCATGAGATTATGTTGAAGAAACTGAACTGTAATTTGATTTGAACTGTCTTCTGGGCGAGGCAGTGGAGAATTAGGTAGTGCTGTCGCCTCACAGCAAGAAGGTCGCTGGGTCGCTGGTTCGAACCTCGGCTCAGTTGGCGTTTCTGTGTGGAGTTTGCATGTTCTCCCTGCCTTCGCGTGGGTTTCCTCCGGGTGCTCCGGTTTCCCCCACAGTCCAAAGACATGCGGTACAGGTGAATTAGGTAGGCTAAATTGTCCGTAGTGTATGAGTGTGTGAGTGGATGTTTCCCAGAGTTGGGTTGCGGCTGGAAGGGCATCCGCTGCGTAAAAACTTGCTGGATAAGTTGGCGGTTTATTCCGCTGTGGCGACCCCGAATTAATAAAGGGACTAAGCCGACAAGAAAATGAATGAATGAATAAATGAACTGTCTTCTGATTTATGTCAGTATTTCGTAGTGCACTAGCTCTGTGACTGTTAGTATGTTCTACATAGTACAAATATACCTGAATGGAGTTTAGACACACAACTGTACATCTGCCATGTTGTCACTCATAACCTGCGGCATCAGTCATGTCATATTATTTCCATTTGCAAAGCCTGACCTCACTTTGTCCACTGAATGCAGAAATACTGCAGCAACTGCTCCTTGTTGAGGATGTCCCCCTGTGGCATCTTCCGCCTCTCTGCCACCAACTTCCTCTCCATCAGGACAACATCTCCGTCTAGCTCATTGCAGGAAGGTAATGCCCCCAACTCAGGGTGCCACTTTGTGGAGTTTAAGGTGAAAGGCAATAGCTCTTGCCTGCCCTTCCTTGGGGTGTTTTCCCTTCCGAGGGGGCCCTTACATCCCCGCAAGCTGCCTCGCAGCTGGTACGTCCATGATCACTTTGGTAGTGCCTCTCATTTAGACTCTGCCTGCATGGATAGCACTGCCAAGTCCGTCATGGTGGCTCATTCAGACAATCAGACTCCGCTATGTGTTACCGTTCCCCCAATAGCCTTCCTAGTTCAGGGCTGTGCATTTCACTGCCAGACATCCAATTTTCCAAGTTGGGAAAAGTCATTTTCGGGAGACACAGAGATGATTTGCAGGAGGTCGCGGGACCTGAAGAGGAATCAACGTACCTGATGAGCGGTGGGGTTGAGTTGCACCCGACATACCTGAAGAGCTGGGAGGGATGCGGTGGAGACTATTTAAGAACCGGGCGAGCGACCTGCAATTTCCCGGAAATTATCATTAATTTCCGGGCAACCGGGAGTCTCAATGCATTTGCAGGAGACTTGGAATTTCTGCACTGCTGTAAAACCCGCAGCAACTCCTGTTTGTTTGAGGTTCCACTGTCAAACGACAAACAGTACTACAATATACCCAAAAAGACCAGTGGATCGACACTGATCCTGGATCTGCGCATATTAAACTAGTATCTGCACAAGATGCAGTTCAGGATGCTCATGCAAAAAGACATCTTTGCATGTGTCCATCTCCAGGATTGGTACACAGCAGTAGACCTAAAGCATGTGTATTTCCATGTTTTGATTCTTCCTTGACACTGGTGGTTTGCTGTTCGAGGGTCAAGCATGACAATACAAGGTTCTCACCTTCTGGCTCTCTCTGTCCCCACAAGGCTTCACACAGGTTATAGAGGGTGCCCTGTCACTGCTTCACTAGCTCAATCTCGACAGTAGTTGGGATTGCATAGGGACTTCAGGTCAACTGAGAGAAAAGCATCTTGCAGAGCATCTCTTTTCTTGTAGTGAAGAATAAAAGATTGCACCATCTTGCTATGTGAAGGTATCTAGGTAAACATGCAATATTAAGAGTGAGTCCAAACATGCAACCAGAAGACAAGACTCTATGTTCTGCTTTGTCACAGAAGAAAAACATTGATAACCATATAACCAAGATTGATAACCAGAAAGTAGTGGCTAGTGAGATTTTGACAGATAGCTGCCCTAGATGTAGAGGAGATACTAAAAAATGACTAAATTATATTAGACTAAAATGTTATGACATATGAGTACACTAATCAAAATTTGGGTATACATGCAGCTCACTAGGCTTTTGAATATCTCTGCAGACTAATCAAGTAGAGGAGAGGTTAGGGCTGGACATGCACAGGTAAACGCTGACAGTGCAGTGCAGCAGCTCAAATCCTCAATGCCCTCCAGTGCCTGAGTTCTGGCTCCCACAGTCATGTTGTGCCAAAGAAGCAGCTCTGCCAGCTGACAGAACTGTCACTCTAACATGCATTCACAAAGACTCATGTGTCTGCGTTCCACACCTGAGGCACAAGTGTATGAGTCAGAGTTTGGTTTGAATGAGAAAGCCCTCCGGGAAGCATAACAGCATTTTCTTTTGGAAGTAGAAAGCAGTAAACCAAACGCTGAGAAAAAAACGCTGGTATGCATTAAATTCAAAATAAAACTAGAACCAGTTCAGTCAACGATTTGCCAACCTTGAGTGCCGAGTTTATATTTCTTCATGGATACATCCTGACCAGTAGATAATAATAATAAGACCAGCAAATGTAAGAATTAATCCAGACATTTCACAATGAAACTGGACCTTTTATTTTTAGGTACACCTGCTCAACTGCTGCTTTGCAAATATGCAACCAGCCAAACTCGTGGCAGCAATTTAATGCATGTAAGTAAAGTTTGGTAAAGGTTAAACTGAGCACCAAAATGGAGATGAATGGTGATTTAGGTGACTTTGGTTTGAATTGGTTGTGGGAATTTTTTCAGAAATTGCTGATTGACTGGCACTTTCACACACAACCATCGTTAGAGTTTGTTAATGTTCAGAAAAAGAGAGAATATCCAGTGAGTGTTAGATCTGTGAGTGAAAAAGCCTTGTACGAAAGATGCCACAGGTTCAGCTGACAGAAAGGACAACAGAAACTCCTCTCTAAACACAAGGCACATCAAACCTTAAAGGGCCATGAAACCCCCTCGTTTCAGCAGGGTGTTTTCACACCTCTACTTTGGAAAAAGTCAGAAAAGTGGGCGTGTCCAGCTCTGTTTAGGGGGGAGTGTCGGAGGAAGAAAAGCGGCTTGGTATGGGAGTGTCTATTTGGGCGCGCTGAATTTCAGAGTCAAAACACACACCCACAGGGGACAATGTGACTGTGTTTACATGGACATCTGTAGTCGAATTATTTGCCAAATTATTAAATGTTGGACTTTAACTGCAGTTTGGCTCTTTCATTCAGGGAATTCATTAATGTCCCTCCCGACATATGTGATATTTGATTCGAGGAACTGCTCTAAGCGTGTATTTTTCATGCAATGTTTGATACCGCACGGCGAATGAGAGAAAAAAAAAAACTCAGCATTTCCCGGAAACTTGGATACACACGGCAGGTAGCGTCAGAAAGCTGCGGGTGTTATTCCGGTCACAAAATCCAACACGAGGTTATAGTTTGGTTGTAACTGTTAGTGCTAACTATTGCACTCGGTGCAATAGTTTGTTTGATACGAATAAAATACGAACTGAATAAACAAAGAGCACTGGTCGCTCACTTACCAAATCTGTAGAGACAGGACAATCACCAGCAACTAGAGCCGCGTCTTTATTTAGAGGAGACTACAAGCGAATCTGGATCTCAGCGTTTGCAGATGAGAACAGCTCTCAGGTAAACAATAATCCTCCTTAGACACGTAAGTTATTGTTGTCGAGCGTCGCGTACACTGTTTATCCACATGTGAGTCTGAGCTCTCACAGAGAGAAAATGAAAACGAAACTTAACTGCAGCAAACTATAAAAGCAACACTTCTCGCTTGTTTTGCCAATACAACGTGGCGTCTTTGCCGTCTACACTGTGACAGTAATGAATATTAATGAAGTTGCACAATAGAGCACGCTGATTGGTTTGAACAAGCTTTACTCATGCATTAATGCATCACACTGTAAGACGTAATAAGACTCACTCTGGCACAGACGCCCAGTCTGCACGCTGGAATACACGCTATTATGTCATGACCGTGATGCAGCTTCAAAAATTTGTTTCAAACAGGAAGTACGAATTTGCTTGAAATAACGCAAAAACAACCAATTTACACTTTTTAGTGAAATATAGGTGTCCTAATAGTGTTTTTAGCAGTGTGGGACACATATACGACTGTTAACAGCTCAAAAAATGTGTTTTGGTGTTTCGTGACCCTTTAAAGAAGATGCGCCTTCAAGACATTGATGACACTCTTGACAGCTGAGAACAGGAAATTGAGGCCACACTTCACACAAGCTGCGTCCCAAATGGCACACTATACACTATGCACTCATGCACTATGTACTTATGCACTTACACACTCAACAGGATAGTATATGTATGTAGTGTCGACCCAAATGGAACAGTAATGTTTTTTTTACTGAACGGAAATTCAAACCGTTTCCCTGATGACGTTTGACGGTAACCAAATCAGTGAAATAAACGACCGAATTATCAAATAATACCTGCCGTGAGTATAACCACATTCACCATCGGGAGTCACTATAATCACTCTCGTAGGAGAATTTTGCTTTCACCATCCAAAATAAATAAAGTTATCCAACATGTGCGCCCCATAGCTCTGCCCCTTCTGCTATGTGAGCAGACGTTGAGTGCGTGAAGTGTCCATCATTCCACACTTCATTTTAGCGGCTGAATGAGGGCATCATCCGGGTAATTAAAGTGCACTATTATTTTTACAGTTTTCATTGTGAACACACTACTTACACTATACTACAAAATGGCATAGAATAGTGCTTAAGTATGCGATTTGGGACGCAGCACAGCAGAATTTTGGATAAACAGTACACCTTATCCATCCTGTCCAGTATCAAGAGTTATGGCTGATAGTGGTGGAAAGGTGTAGGACTTCCTACTACAGGCCGCTGAATGTACAATGTTGGTCAGTTTGAAAAGGCTGAAAGTATAATGTCTTCAAATATTCTGACACCCTGCATTGCAGGAGGCAGGGTTGTAAACGTGTCACACTGCTCACATATACCCCTAAACACTACAGCAATGACAGTTTTGTAAACGTCTGGTAGAAGCAATGTTTATTCTTTCAATGGCACAGACAAAGAGCATGTTAAAGTGCACAGGATACCACAAGAAATCGTACAGGTGCGGATACATCTGTACCAGCTCAGCTTGGTACAGTTGCCAACTTGGTGTTGTTGTTTTGAATGTTTTTCTGATCTCCATGGAATGAGAAAGAATGGGAGGTGGGGTTCACACATCAAAGAAGGTGGAGTTCCAGAACATACCCACTGATTGTGTAACGACCCACCAATGCTAGCTCAAAGGAATTCAGGAGCCAAAACAAACTCCACCATGAAGTTAGCTTTGGTTAATTGTATCGAGCTGCTGAAGCAAACTCCAAATGAACTTTGTTTCAGTCGTATTTTGTTGAAACTTCATGGCATCATTTTAGTTGATCTTCGATTTTGTTTGAAGTATACTTACCAGCCTTAATCACCACAATCTACTATTTCATTATGACCTCAGTGAACTCATCTTTTGATGTCTGCTTGTCGTATATAAACACTATGTTGAAATGGCGACTACCTCCTTTAGCTTCCACCCTTTGGGTCCATTAGTACAAATTGAGCATCGTGTCAATGCCACAACCTACCTGAGTATTGTTGCTGACCATGTCCATTCCTTTATGACCACAGTGTACCCATATTCGGATGGTTACTTCCAGCAGGATAACATGCCATGTCATAAAGCACAAATCATCTCAGACTGGTTTCTCGAAACATGACAACGAGTTTATTATACAAAAATGGTCTCCACAGTCATCAGGTCTCAATCTAGTAGGACACCTTTGGGATGTGGTAGAACGGGAGATTCACATCATGGATGCGCAGCCGACAAATCTACAGCAACTGATTGATGCTATCATGTCAATATGGACCAAAATCTCTGAGGAATATTTCCAGTCCCTTGTTTGATTTATGCCACGAAGGATTAAGGCAGTTCTGGAGGCAAAAGTAGGTCCAACCCGGTACTAGTAAGGTGTACCTAATAAAGTGGCCGGTGAGTGCATAATTTAAAAAATTGTTTTTTTTTTAAAATCACACATCCATTCCAAAATACCAGTGAATTCTGTGACGAAATTAACCAGAAATGACCTCTAAACCGCTGCAGTTGTATAAATTTGAAAGTTTTTTAAATCGTCAATAAAGGCAAGAAAAAGTCTGTATGTGTGAAAGGTGCTAATGACAGAACTACATCCCAAACTGACAAAAATTAGTGCACCTAATGATGGATAGGTTTAGGCAAAGAGCATAGAATCACCAAGAGGCGACACTGTAGTGCAATTTTGAGAAACAGCCACTAGTTGGCACGGCGGCCATTTTGGATTGAAAACTCCAATAGAACAACAGCATATTATAAGTGTGTAAAATAAACATTTAAAAGTGCTGATGATTGTGATAGTAAGTGTTGTATTGTCATCTATCCGGTTGTATCTCAGCTTTAATGCACTTTTTAAATAAATAAATAAATAAATAAATAAATAAATAAATAAATAAATAAAAAACAAAGCAGCTGTTTGCCCGCGCGACAGTAATAAGATTCAATGGACAGCCGAACTCTTTCACTCCAAAATGGCGGAATGTGGGGCTGTTGCTGGGCGCTGCTGCTGCAATGGAACGTTCTTTTGAGTGTCACCTCTTGGTCATTCTAAGCTCTTTGGTTTAGGGGAAGACCTTCATACTCTAAAACCAAATCACACTGTCTGAATTCATGAAAAAAAAAAACACTAACGAAAAAATATGAATGTTTTGTGTTGTGATCGATAGACACAGATGAACTCACAATTTCTGATGGTCACTGACTCTGTTCCTCAGGACATTGATCTGTAAAGAGACACAATCAAAAACACAAACCATCACACTGGATAAAAATGAGCAGAAAACCACAACGACTTCTTCGTGTGAGAAGAAAAATGAATCACAAATCAATACTTTCATTTTGCTTTCCACAGAAGCAGATCAAAGTAGGGTTTTGTTGTGTTAATGCTGACACATGTTTGCTTTTGGCATAAGATTAGAAATCCTCGAGATGAGTCTTGGTAAGCATTAGCCAAATCTAAATAGAGTGAATCAGCCAATAAGAAACACTGCTGAAGACCAAGGGATTACATTTCGATGAAGGATTTAGCATGCAAGCTGTCTTTGTTTAAATAAAGAACCGGTTATTCATACATGTTGACATTAGAAGCATGTTTTATTAAAGTATATGGAGATGTTTTTGATTTAATGTTTTAGTAAAGCTCCAGTTGATGGAGACTTCATCTTACCTCATATTTCTGTTTGCCGAACTGATACTGTAACTCAAACTTCTCTGCTTCTAGTTCACGCATCCAGCTCCACAATTCCTTTGCTTTCTCTCTAAAGGGAGAAATGAGTTTTTATTCATGTTCTGCTGAAATTCTTGATTCGGACTAGCTGGAAGTTGTGGAATAAAACTGTTTAATGCAAAAAGACTAAAGGTAGTTCTAGTCAGTTTTAATGACAGTCTGAAATAAATGCACCTCCTCCAAACATAATTAACCGTAACTCCATGACAGCAGACAGCCTTCATTTCTCTGTGTGATCCCAAAGATTTGAAGAAGACTTGTCACTCATATAGTTTTGAATGGTGAAGTGTAATGGTCCAACACAATCTCTAGGCAATTCGTAACTTTTTGATTTAGTGGCTAATTCGTATGAATTTGTACGATCTAATTCAAATATTTCACTGCTGAGAGCATTACCAGATTTAACACATCTATACTTTGACAAACTATCATGGAATAAGCAAGATGATCAATGACTTGCTGTGCTTTAAAGGTTTTAAAATGCTCACCATGTTGTCCATTTAAAATCCTAAACGCACTGCAAACCATAGATTAACCCGTACTGAAATTATTAAATCAGTTTGATTCCTGTTGTTGTTACCAATTTATAATTTAAGATTCTTTATTGAGAAACAGATAATTGCTGCTGTCACGAAGTCTGATGAATACGCTAACTAACAGACGTCTAGCAAATTCCAGAGAAGTCCCTGCTGAAAAATCCAGCTTTTTTAGCTGGTCGACCAGGCTGGTTTTAGAGGGGTTTTGGCCACTTCCAGGCTGGTTTCCAGCCATTTCCAGCCTGGTCTTTGCTGGTCAATCTGGGAGATGACCAGCTTAAACCAGCTTGACCAGCCTAGCCAAGCTGGGAGTCCAGCCAAAATCAACTATGTCCAGTTTAAACCAGGCTGGTCAAGCTGGTTTTAGCTGGATTTAGGTGGTTATTTTCCAGCCTGACCAGTTAAGACCAGGCTGGAAATAGCTGGAAACCAGCCTGGAAATGGCCAAAACCCCTCTAAAACCAGGCTGGTCAACCAGCTAAAACCAGCCAACCAGCCTAGGCTGGTTTAAGCTGGATTTTTCAGCAGGGGTCTAACTAGTAAATGTTATAAGGGGGTTGTGATACAAAGAGGTAGAGGCAAATCTAAACAAAACATGCAAATAAAGTACAGGAATCAGCCTGGTGACAGACTTTTCCCAGCCCTGATACCATCAGCATGACAGTACCAATTTAAATACGCAGGTGCTGCTAATCCAATCAGTCTAAAAGTATTGCCTTGAACGTCATAGAGAAAAAGGTACAGTCATTATGACCCTGGCTGATGGTCAGTAAGTGCATAAAGACACTAGGGTAATGTCTCTGATTTAAAATTTAACTGAATGTAAAACACATGTACTTAACTTTTTAGTTATATACTATCACATTGGAACCTAGATTTGAAATTTAACACTGTGTTGCAGTATGATATTGACCTTACAATTGTTGACCAATATTTGGTTAATTGATTGATTGATTGATTGATTGATTAATAGATTGCTTGACTGCTTGGTTGATAATTTTATATAAACTTTAATATGAAACAGAAAAAAATAACATAAATATGCATGCAAGATGGGAAGTATTTTACAAACTTTTCTTATATTCAAACATATTTTAAAACAAGAAACATGCTAAGTTATGATGGCGCAGTAGGTAGTGCTGTCACCTCACAGGAAGAAGGTCGCTGGTTCGAGCCTCGGCTGGGTCAGTTGGCGTTTCTCTGTGGAGTTTGCATGTTCTCCCTGCGTTCGCGTGGGTTTCCTCCGGGTGCTCCGGTTTCCCCCACAGTCCAAAGACATGCAGTCCAGGTGAGTTTTGTAGGCTAAATTGTCCGTAGTGTATGAGTGTGAATGAGTGTGTAAGGATGTTTTGGAAAAAAAATATATACAGCACTAAAGAAGTCATTGATTACAGATTTCCAACACTCTTCAAAATGTCCTCAATTGTGTTCGTAACTCAAACCAGTTTACAACAGGTGAAAGGTGAGAAAATTATGACAGATTTTTATTTATTTTTTTGTCAAACTATCCCTTCAGAAGGACATTCATTCATTTTCTTTTCGGCTTAGTCCTTTAATCTTAATCGGGGTTCGCCACAGCGGAATGAACCACCAACTTATCCAGCATATGTTTTACGCAGGGGATGTCCTTCCTGCTGCAACCCATCTCTGAGAACACACTCATACACTATGGACAATTTAGCCAACCCAATTTATCTATAGCGCATGTGTTTGGACTTTGGGGGAAACCGGAGCACCCGGAGGAAACCCACGCGAATGCAGGGACGTGCAAACTCCTCACAGAAACACCAACTGACCCAGCCAAGGCTGGAACCAGCGACCTTCTTGCTGTGAGGCGACAGCACTACCTACTGCGCCTATAGAAGGACAGATTACCCCAATTAGAATGGCCTGTACACATAGACATGAAGACTCCTCAAACCTGAGAGCAGATTCATTGGCATTGTCAATGTCCAGAGGTTTGCGTCGATCACCGAGAATCTTCTTCTTCTTCTCTCTCTCAGTCTGTTTCTTTCCACTCCGTCTCTCTATCTGCAAAACCAGACCACAGACAACAATATTTACAATCAATTTCAATAAAAAGCAGTGATATAAAGTGATATTTCTTATTTTACTTTTTTAAATTTATTTTACGAGAAGTCACAGGTTAAATACAATACTGTAAAATATATATAGTTGTTAAAGGGATAGTTCACCCGATTTTTTTTTTTTTTTTTCACTATTTACTCTCCAGACCTTTATGAGTTTCTTTCTCTGTTGAATACAAAGGAATATGTTTTGGAGAATGCTGGAAACCTGTAACCATTGTATTTCATAGTAGGAAAAACAAACACTAAAGAAGTCAATGGTTACATGTTTACAACATATTTCAAAGTATCTTCTTTTGTATTGAACAGAAAAAGAACCTCAAACTGTTTTAGAACAAGTAAAGGGTGTGTAAATAATTGAAATTGATTATTCTTTGGTTTTGGGTGAACTGTCCCTTGAAATTTTAATATTTTTAAAAGTATTTAATGTATGCCAAGGCTACATTGATTTGAATATGATACATCTAATCCTATAGAAATACAGCAAAATATTACTTCAGTTTTGTTTGAATATATATTTAAATTACTAATTATTCTTTAAAACATTTCTTAATAGCATCACATAAGTCAGGCTGTCAATATTTTTATGGAAATGGTATATTTTTTGATAAAAACAATTGATTTTATTTTGTAGTGAGGATGAGTTTAAGTGTGTAGGATACATGAGGACCACAGTTTTTTAGTCCCCAGAATGAGAAGACAGACAGTATCTCTTGTAAAGAAAACACAGCATGTATTTACAGACATGCAGAATGTCAAACTTCAGATTTAAACAGTCTTTCAAACAATAGTTTGATATTCGCAGACAGTAAATGTTTAATTTATTCATCCAAAATAGGCCAGAATGTATTCATTCAAATTTTTAAAGACTATGACTCTGATTATGACTATGACTATGATTATTTAAAAGTCAAGTCTAAACTGTTTTTGTTTTATTAGAAGGTTTTCAACATATCACACTGCAAAATTATACATGCACACAATGATATTCTCTCACTTGACGTATTGCATTACATCTTGGTCACAAGTCTCTTGAAGCCTATTGACTCAATATATAACCAAACAGTTAAAATTATGGACTTAAAGCCTATGCGATGGCATCATTGTGATGTTTTATGCACACATAACCCTTTTAGTTTTGATAGTTTTATTAAATTTAATTATCTTAAATTGGTTATTAAAAGTTTAAATAATCATGTTTCAATCCTGTTTTCTGATCTAATCAGTCGGCATCAACCCTCCCACAGAGTTACACGGCAACTGCTAATGGTGACTGTCTAGAGCCAAAGTTTAAGACCTCATTGGGTCAATGATTTACCGGTTAGCTTAAAATCAGAAATTAATCTAAATATTTTTAGTAGTGGTCTTAAAAAGTGGTTAAAACAAAACAGCAGTGTCTGCAGTAATTTTATGTAAACAATTGTAATGTTGTGTATGTTTTTATTATATTTCCATTTTGTCAATTTTTAAGCCTTTTGTGGACAGGTGTTGAGAATTTGCAAGTTTGCTAAAACACTGAAACCAATGCATTTGGTTGTCCAGAGTAATTGTGATGTCCATGTCAAATAAATAAATAAATAAATCAAACACTATGACTCTGTCTGTAATAATAAGGCTATATTTGCATTTATTTATCCTAAACAGGCCATAATTTATTAATTAAAATGAATTGAAAGTCAATGGTTCTGTCTGTATGCTTGGCAGAACTCATAAAGCGACATCACAGAGCCAAATTCACACCATTTCAACTGACCTTTTGCATGTAACCGCCGAAGTGCAGACTGGTGAGCGTCTTCTTCTTCTTGGCATCATCTTCTGCTCTCTTTTTGGCTTCCTCTTCCTCCTTGCGAGCTCTTTCCTCCTAGTCATTTAACCACATTTGGTTTGCAAAGCTAACAGTGATTTATCTGTCTGTGCATGTGGTGTGAGTTAACCGTCAACATCTCATTGCAATTATTTTTTTTGTGCTGACCTCCAAACGCTTCTGTCGCTCCCTTTCGCGTTCGCTGCGGATTCTCTGCTGCTCTGCTCGCTCCGAACGACGCTTCTCCTGAAAAATCAACCACTTTATCTTAAACTCTTGCTGGTTAAGTCACTGTTAACGTTGCTAAAATGACAGCTGATTGATTTGACACTAGTACGTTGAGTCTTTTCATCATGAGAGTTCATGCCAGATCATCGATGTTTAATCAACTGTGGCCTATTGTTTGTTTTCGCGAATTTACCCCACTGGATGCATTCATGTCATTTCTCTGTTTTTGTATGTCATGTTTCATTTACTTATGGTTGGTAGCTTTACTTAACACTGTTGACTCACAATTCTGTCTTTGAGGCTGATGATTTCCTCTTCCTCCTTCTTACGGCTTTCAAAGTGAGCTTCGATCAGCGTCTGCAGCTCATTCAGGTCCTTCTCCATGCGCTTACGGTGGATGTCCTGGGAAAAAGAAACACATTTGAATTTTCAGATCTTCTCGGGCAGTCTGACTGACAAAACCCACAAAGCAAACGGACTTGGCCCAAATGTGGCCTCATTATGGCACTGCTGGCGTGTTGCCGGCATTGGCATGCATAATGTCAGCCAAATAGGGGCCATACATGGCAATGATAGCACAGCATGCATGACGGCAAACTACTTTTTGGCCAGTTGTAGATGGGAGGTGTGTGGCCCAGATCAGTGTAGCGATTGTTCACACTGTTCAGGTAGCATTAGGCTGGGTTATGGCTCAGTGTTTGGAGTTTTCTGGTTAATGTATAAACTTAAAGCTGAGAATTGGTACCAATAATAATGAACCTGTAATAATAAACCTGTTTTGGTCATGTTCAGGGTCAGTTATGGGTTATAAATTACCTGAGATTCAGGCCGGTATGGCCTTTGTCTTTAATCCAGTTATGGGCTACTTCCCAGGTAGCAAAGAATTCTGGCCAAGATTTGGCATAAATCTGGCACAGCTAGCATTCATCCGGCACTGGCATACAGCATGTTGGCCAAACATGGCCCTGATTTGGCAGAGGTGGCACACAATAATTGGGCCAGATTTAAATTGTAGTATTTGGCCCAGATGTTAATAATTAATATGTGGGCCATGTAAGCTTGGCCTATGTTGACCCAAATTTAATAAACCTTATTATTTTTAAATAAAAATAAATCAATTCTGCCAATCAGGTCACTTCAAGACAAAGCATGCCCATAGTGTGCCTAAAGCAGAACAATTCATGGGTTAATCGATTTTTAATTGCAGTAGTGACACACCAACATTTCTGGCCCAGTTCAGGCTCAGTTATGGGTTATTAACTAGGCTGAGACTTGGCCCAGATATGGTCTATGTTTGGCCCTTGTCTGGATGCCAGACGTGGTCCAGTCATGTACCGTAATTCACTGCGGCATGTGGGCCAAGCAAAATCTGATTGTGTTGACCAGAGCTGGGCCAGAGATATTTTGCTACGTGGAAATGTTCAAGTTCAGACATATAAAAGCATAGATTAGATGTTGATGTTTATGAAATTACAATCTAAATGATAAATATATACTGTAGGACAAACTACAAAAGGTTTGGACTCATTCATAAATTAGATCAAATTATTACATTTAAAACAAACACATTTGTACTAGTGATTTAAATAATTTACTTAAGTTACTGTAAATAATAATAGTATATATATATATATATATATATATATATATATATATATATATATATATATATATATATATATATACTCTTAACAATTTCCTGTAGAATCTACATTAACTTACTGGCAGCAGTTCACCAGTAACTTACTGTAAAACAATTATAGCAACAATACTGTATTTACATTTACAGCATCATTTGTCTTGCTGTGCATTTACAGAATTGTATGTATATCTTTACTCTAAAATACACGGTAAGTTTCACAATATAACTTTAAAACACAGTAGCCTACTGTATAACTGTCCTAGAGTAAAATACAGTTCATATTATAGTTAAATAATGTGTAATTTACAAAAACAATAACAGTGTATAAAACAAAAAATATATCTTAAAAGTTATCTATAGTAATCAGATCAAATGTTATCATTGTTACGATTACCAGCTATCTAAACCTATGCAGATCGCTGGAGAACTACACATTGGCCACCATATGAACTACAACTGCCATGATGCTTTGCACCAATCACTCCTGCCACAGCTGACAGTCATTTGGACACACACACACACACACACACACACACACACACACACACACAAAAACACACAAACACAGCTGGTAACTCATCATGGACTGATTATCTGGACTATATATTATACCTCTCAAACACACACATTGCTGAGTCTTGTTTCCTGTAACATTTTTATGTGTTTTGCTTGCCGTGTTCTTCTGTGGGTTTTTGATTCCTGTTTTAGATATTGTTTAGGCTGTTTGTCTCCTGCACTGACCTTTCGCCTGTGACCAAGGCTACAATTTTGGATTACCGTAATGTATCTGTGTGTTCCTGTTTGACCATTGCCTGCCTGACTAAACTATGACCTCTGTTTGGACTCTCACCCCCATTGTACCCCGACTCACATGTCACAATGGTGATAAAAAATGACTCTTTATCAATAAATTACATTTTACATTTAAGAATAATTGCTCATTTATGATAAATATGTTCTTTAAAAGCAAAAATATCAAATATATACAGACCTCAACTTTTTTTAAAGGTATTGTAAACATAAAAAAGGCTCTTAAAATCAATTCCAGTGGGCAAATATATATTAAACAAGCTAATATGTCATGCTGGTTTGAAGCGATACTTTGTGTGATTAAAAGTTTTTGTTTTTTTTAATCTTTAACAAAAGAAAAAACAAAAATCACACAATAATTCACTTGTATGAGGCAAATATGAGGTAACACAACAAATTAAAAGTTTCATATGCCCTTTAGGTCTCAGTGAACCTCCAGTGAATTGTACTCACATCAAAATCGACTCTTTCTCCATCTGGAATCTTTGGAGGCACCAGATTTGGCAGCATAAATGGTCTGAAAAACAATGGTTGGCTTTCAAAACTCTGTATGAAATTAAATCATGTACTGCTGATTCTGATCTTAAAGAACAAACTCAAACAGAGACTTATGAATCTAAACTTACTTTAGGAATTTGGGCTTAGCCTCCTCTGAAGAATCAAAAACACAAACAATCAATCAGCAATAAAACAAAGAGATATGAGGGTCTTTTAATAATACCTTTCACTTTTAAATCTACAGTTGAAGTCAGAATTATTAGCCCCTTTGTTTATTTTTTCCTCAATTTCTGTTTAACGGAGAGATTTTTTCAACATATTTCTAAACATAATAACTCATTTCTAATAGCTGATTTATTTTATCTTTGCCATGATGACAGTAAATAGTATTAGACTAGATATTTTTCAAGACACTTCTATACAGCTGTAAGAGACATTTAATGGCTTAACTAGATTAATTAGGTTAACTAGGCAGGTTAGGGTGATTAGGCGAGTTATTGTATAGCGGTGGTTTGTTCTGTAGACCACTGGAAAAATAATAATAGCTAATAATTTTGTCCTTAAAACGGTGTTTAAAACTTAATAACTGCTTTTATTCTAGCTGAAAAAAAAAAAAAATAAGACTTTCTTTAGAAGAAAAAATATTATCAGACATACTGTGAAAATTCCCTTGCTCTGTTAACATCATTTGGAAAATATTAAATTCAAAGGGGGGCTAATAATTCTGACTTCAACTGTATATAATCTTTCATACCCAAGGTGCAGCCTTTATAAATACCTTAAGCCTGTTTTATGTGAATTTCTTAAATGGCTTCTCATGGCAGTCACAGCACACCAGCAAACATTACAAGAACGTGTTGTTAAATCAGGAAATAATTCGTTTTTCCCCCAAAATCACAGCCTTGTTTCTTTCGGTAATGCAAGCTATTATAAAAGGATTTAGGGGTGATCTAATCCTTTTTTAGAAGGGTGTGTCGTAATGCAGGTCTCTGCTTGTCACAAACAATTATTCGAGAGCTGTAAATCTCAGGCTTCCCGTCTGCAAACGTGATAAAGAGCAAATACCTCCTCCATCTTCTGTCTCCTCTTCTCCATCTGAACAAAGAAAGACAGAATGTGTGAAGAACAAGTGGTTATAATCAGCACAGAGGGACAGAAATAGACCCTGATAACAGAGGAATGATGGAAAACATCATCCAACACTTATCACTTTGACTATGGTCAAAGACAGGACGTCCCACATACAATTAAACACACAAAAAATATTTAAATGCAGTGGAATAGATTATTTAGATTTTTTTTTTCTTTTTTAAATATTTCCTAAATGATGTTTAACAGAGCAAGGACATTTTCACAGTATGTCTGATAATAATTTTTAAACTGGAGAAAGTCTTATTCGTTTTATTTCGGCTAAAATAAAAGCAGTTTTTAATTTATTGTTTAAAAACATTTTAGGGCCAAAATTATTAGCCCCTTTAAGCTATATATATATATATATATATATATATATATATATATATATATATATATATATATATATATATATATATATATATATTTATTTATTTATTTTTTTTTTTTTCGATAGTCTACAGCAGTGGTTTTCAAAGGGGGTCGGTACCCCCTGGGGGGTCGTGGGACAATGACAAGGAGTCGCTTGGTGATTTCCAAAGCTCAAATAAATTTTTATTAAACTATTAGAATTACCATATTTTATTCAGAACCCACAGAAGATAGTTAATAGTTGCGTTACAGAAACAGCAACAACAACATACAAATAAAAATCAGTCATCAACCTTTTTATATTAAAATGTAATTAAATTAATAAATGACTATAAAAAATACATTATATGGTTAATAGACTGTGGTATTTAGTGTTGTCAATATGCTTGTTTATATTTGCCGATAGTTGTGTTCGCAACATTTGTATATTTACAGTATAACCACCTTGAGTCAAGGGTTAATGACATTGTTATTTTGGGGGTTGCGGGCTGAAAAGTTTGGGAACCCCGGGTGTACAGCAGGGGTGTCCAAACTCGGTCCTGGAGGGCTGGTGTCCTGGAGAGTTTAGTTCCAACCCTAATCAAACACACCTGAACTAGTTAGTCAAGCTCTTTCTAGATATACTAGAAACTTCCTAGCAGGTGTGTTGATGCAAGTTGGAGCTGAACTCTGCATGACACCGGCCCTCCAGGACCAAGTTTGGAGACCCCTGGTCTACAGTAACTAGAATAACTTGCTGAATTACTCTGTATAGAAGTGTCTTGAAAAATATCTAGTAAAATATTATTTACTGTCATCATGGCAAAGCTAAAATAAATCAGTTAATAGAAATGGGTTATGAAAACTGTTATGTTTAGAAATGTGCTACAAAAATCTTCTCTCCATTAAACAGAAATTGGAGGACAAAAATAAACAGGGGGGCTAATAATTCTGACTTTAACTGTACATAGAAAGCATATTAAATGCATAAAATAAGTTGAAAAGGCATATTTACGTAAAAATGAAACAAATTCTTGAGGTTTATTTGATAAAATACACAATGAAATAAATGATCAAACTACAATTTCATTATATTTTAAATAATAAAAACCTGAAGGACAGTGACAAAGATTTAAAATGCATTTAATAAGTATTTTAAGGCTGAATTTATTAAGATATTGATTCTTTTTTTCTATTTGAGACAACTGTCACCATAATTAGCTAAATATGAGTTACATTTACTACTAGTTTATACTTACCATTATTCTTTGTTGTTAACAATATTACAATTTGCATTATGTAATATAGATTTATGTTAATAAATGTCACTGTAAAAATGTATATGAACAAGTCATGACGGCATATATTTTTATGTCATTGTAACTTAGTAAACTAAGTTAATCTTGTTCTAACGTTTATATACGTTTTTAAAAAGTCTAGTTATATTATTCAATGGACTCATAAGCCTAATTTGATTCAGCCTAAAAAAATAAGGCAACCAGGATTTATTTATTTATTTATTTTTTTTAGTTTGATCTTACATTTAGTATCCATGGAATTAAAACCTTTTACAGGAACAAAACTTGGATTAAACTTGAACATGGTTCTCTCCGCAGATTTAATATAGATAGAGCTACTTGTCAAAAGAGCATCCAAACTTTCTCTTTCCACCTATCTAATCTAAAAGGTATTTGTGTGGTGAAATGATCAGTTCTGATAAGTCCTTTTGCAGATGATACGATAGATAAAGACAACAAACAGCAAATTCCAATACCTATCGATGCTGCTTATATTCTTCCCATCGGCTTTATTGGTTTATCCCTTTATATTGCATACATTTAGTGTTACAGTGTAACTAAAAAAAAATGTAATGACAAAAAGTCAAGAAAAATATTTGTATGTTTCTTTATTTCAGAAGGCTAATCAGGTTTCAACAAAACATTTTTAAGCTATACAAAAATTAACTTAATATTTATTCAGTTTGACTGATACAAGTTGAGATGACTAGAAAATGTAATTTAATTTAACTAAAAAAATTAAGGCAGCAAATTATATATATATTTTTACAGTGTATTCATTTAACTACCGAGTAATATTAATTAATTGGGTTTGGTTGTGGGATTAGGGTTAGTTACACAGTTTAAAAAAATTGTTCCTGTCTTAAATTTTTAGCTGAATCAAATTATCTTTTCAAGTCATCTCAACTTACATTAGTCAAACATTAAGTTAAACTTTGTATAACTTAAAAAAAATAGTTCATTAACTAAAATGAGTTAAAGCAACAAAAACATTTGTTGTTTTGACTTTTTGTGGCATTACACCTTTTTCACAGTGCATGTAATTACGCATAATTCATTGTAATTACTATAGCAAGTACATGTGTAACTATGTCATCTTTAAAGTGCATGAAGTGAATAAAGCAAGCAAGGATGGAGTGAATTGTATATGTTATACTGTATATGTACCAACATCATTTAAAAGACACAGACTACACCCTATCAGGACAATTTTGGCATAGTCTGTTTGATCAATGGTGTTGTGGTGATTTGTAAATGACAACTGGCATTAGGATTCATGAACCAATTGTTGTATGAGGGCTGTATCTAGAATCTCCTCTTTACCCTTATTATACACCCATATTGCCTACATTACTCCACTAATGTAGTCCACTCTAAATAGTGAAAGGAAATGAGTGAATTTGAGCTTTGAGTTCACCAGAAGGGAAGCCATTTTGTTTTGTGTTTTGCTGGTTGATAAATCCCTAAGAGGGGGGCGCAGTGGGTAGCACGGCCACCTCACATCAAGAAGGTTGCTGGTTTGAGCCTCGGCTGGGTCAGTTGGGAGTTTGCATGCTCTCCATGAAAAAACAGAAGCCGTCAGTGGCATCATACCGCCTCGTAGCATTTGTTTGAAAGACGAAATGCAGCCATACATACCTCTGGGTACATAATTTGTGCTCTCTTGAAATGTATATGGGGGTACATATTCACAATGAGTCTGTATTGCAACTAACAGCAACCTGCTTTGCGTCAGGCTGACGATAAGCCTGTCAGGTATCAACGATAACAGCCTGCTGGATGTACTTATTTTCCCCAACTTAATGCATGACAACTGATGCCATTACCTGACTTGGCCGTTCACCAATAGAAGCACACAGCTTTCAAACATGGCAACATAAAAACAAAGTCAATGGCACTGGTGCTGATAGGTGGAATTACCCAATAGAGAAACTTTTATGGTGCTTTGGCAATTGCCTTATGATATGTCATTGCGGTTTGTTTGTGCTCTACTTTCCGTAATTCGCTCACTAGTCACGCCTTCTCTATGACATCACAAATGTCGTTAATTATAGATAGAAAGGAAGGATTGACCAGGAAGACAAAATGTATTCTGACATGTTTTGTGTCCAACCCATGACAATACTTCATGAGTCTGTGTTCTGAAGCTCACCGTGTTCCTGAGTGGTCTCTTCATCTCCTCCTGCGTTCTCCTCCTGCTGAGCCTCTGAATGTGGAGAAAGCCACAGGACAGGTTATCAGGCTTGCATTATTACATTTCACCAGGGATCAGATTCCTTTGAGTTTAGTCAGTCTGAGAGTGTGAAAAATAAAAAAAAGTCCAACCATTGTGTGTGGTGGAGGATGTGAGGTAAATCCTGAGGGCAAAGAAGCTGTTTACCAGCCTGGGCATGATGGGTACTGGTGGCAGACTTGTTAGATGAAAGCATACCTCAGATCTTTTAGATGGTTACACACTTACAGCGATACACACGTCTCTACACAGCCATGCAACTGTTGTCTGTGATATAAATGTGTTGGTATGTCTGAAGTCAGACGAGGATTAAAGAGTATTGTAGTACAGCTGGTCACTTATAAAATAGTTCGCTTTCACTCTCAAGTCATTCTAATGATCTATAAACAAAAGATTTGGTTTGGTAAAAGTCAACCAAATACTTAATAACAAAAGTAATTTATTTCTAGAATAAACTATAACATTATGCAAATGGTCTAAAATCTACAGTTGAAGACATCATTATTAACACTCCTGTGAATTTCATTTTTTATATGTTTTCCAAGTCATGTTTAACAGAACAAGGATTTATTTATACATAGTAGTATTTCCTATTATATTTATCTTCTTGAGAAAGTCTTATTTCTTAGTTTGGTTGAAAATGTAAACACCTTAATATAACCTTAAGAAATTAGAAAGTAATAATAATATAATATAATATAATAAAAAAAATATGTTCAGTGGTTACAGAAAAAAACACAGTGTATTGCACAATCAATGTATTGCCTAATTAACCTTAGTTAGCTAAAACTTAGTTAAGCCTTCACATTGTACTTTAGGCTGAATAATAATATCTTGCAAAAATAACTAGTAAAATATTATGTATTGTCATCTCGCTGTAAAAAAATGTTTTTCAGCAGCTTGGGTGCTGGAAAAAATGGCCGTAAAATAACGTCCGTTAAATTTCAAAAATTTACCATAAAATAATGAATGTTAAATTACAGAAATTTACCGTAAATGAATGTCCGTTAAATTAAAAAAAATTACCATAACATAATGAATGTTGAATTACAGAAATTAACCGTAAAATAATGTCTGTTAAATTTCAGAAATGTACCATAAAATAATGAATATTAAATTACAGAAATTTACCATAAAATAAAGTCTGTTAAATTTCAGAAATTTACCATAAAATAATGAATGATAAATTACAGAATTAACCGTAAAATAAAGTCTGTTAAAATTCAGAAATTTACCATAAAATAATACATATTTAAATTACAGAAATTTACCGTAAAATAATGTCTGTTAAATTTCAGAAATTTACATAAAATAATGCATGTTAAATTACAGAAATTTACCATAAAATAATGAATATTAAATTACAGAAATTTACTGAAAATTAATGTCTGTTAAATTTCTGAAATTTACCATAAAATAATGAATGTTAAGTTACAGAATTTACTGTAAAATGAAGGATGTTAAATTATAGAAATTTTAAATTCCGGTAAATTTCTGTAATTTAACGTCTGTTATTTTACGATAAACTTCTGTAATTTAACAATCAATTATTGTTAAATCAGTTATTTTATGTCTTTTCTGGCAACTCAGCTGCCAAAAAAAAAAAAAAATGTAAAACAACTTTTTTTATTTGGTAACGCTTTATTTTGAGGGTCCATTTGAATATTAATACTGTCTGCTTAATATCTGTTGATACTGCTCCTTCAACAGACATTTAACTGACTATAGGAAACTTTGCAAGTACAAGTCAACTTACACTAACCATAACTCCAACATAACAGTCTACTTATAATCTAATGAAAATTAGCATGTAAAGTAACTTAATTTAACAAACAGACCATCAAAATAAAGTGTGACCATTTTTTACAGTGGCAATTAAGTATCAGAAACTAGTTAATAAATATAAATTTTTAAACAAATATGTTGCTATTTGAAAATGCGATAATAATTAACAGTACCCCTCAAATAACAAAAGGATTTTGCTAAGTTAAATCTTAAATGTTAATTCTACTTAAATATGTTACATTAATTTAATCGATTTGTGTTGGGACAACATAAATGAATTGTGTGGAACCCTGCATTTTTAATGCTGTATTTTTTTCTTTAGGTCACAATTTGACTATGGACTTATAATAATATAAAAAAATATTTTGATAATTGACCTTTTCATGCATGTTTAACATTAATATGCTTTAGAATACTTAAGTTAGCAAGTGTACTAGAGGAAGCAAGTCTAGACAGCTGTCTAAGCATGTTTATCCCCATGACTTAAGTTAATGTTAGAAATTTCAGATTAACTTATCCCTACACTCTCTCACACAGATACACAAGCTTTTTCAAAAGACACACATTTGTATGTACAGTAAAGGGTCCATTCACACCTTAAAGGTACATATTAGTACCTAACCAGTTCAATGGTATACTTCTCAAATTACTAGGTAGTAATATGTGTCTTTAAAATACACCCTTAAGGTACAAATGTGTATCTTTTGCCACAGTAACAGCTTATGGACCTTTTTTTTTTTCTCAGAGTGTAGTGAAAGTTACATGTAAAACAAACCAATCAAATTAATTGAAGAAATAAAATAATGTTTGTCATGCCATGTCATGTACAAAGCCTATTTAAAATGTTGTATTTTTCAATTTTGGGCATTCACTTTGAACACAGAAAAATGAATTTTGGTGCTCTTTTGACCATTATTCATTCATTCATTCATGCATTCATTTTTTTGTCAACTTAGTCCCTTTATTAATCCGGGGTCGCCACAGTGGAATGAACCGCCAACTTATCCAGCACATTTTTATGCAGCGGATGCCCTTCCCATCTCTGGGAAACATCCACACCCACATTTACTGAATCGTTCACTCCACATCATCCTAAAACACTCATTCAGTCACCTGTAAGATACTTGTGTTCTGTCAGATTTTCCAGTGTTGTTGATTAAAAATATTTTAAAGGAGGAGCAAAAGCAGACTATTGCAGTGTCACGGTGGTGCAGTGGAAAGCACGATCACCTAACAGCATAAAGGTTGCTGGTTTAAGCCCTGGCTGGGTCAGTTGGCATTTCTGTGTGGAGTTTGCATGTTCTCCCCGTGTTGGCCTGGGTTTCCTCTGGGTGCTCCGGTTCCCCACACAAGTCCAAAGACATGCGCTACAATTGTCCATAGTGTATGTGAGTGAATGAGTGTGTATGGATGTTTCCCAATGAGGGGTTGCAGCTGGAAGGGCATCCGCTTCGTAAAACATATGTTGGATAAGTTGGTGGTTTATTCCGCTGTGGCGACCCCAGATTAATAAAGAGACTAAGCTGAAAAGAAAATGAATGTATGAATGAAATTGAGGTCCTGCTGGCAGAGGTAGAGGCCTGCATGGAGACACATTTTTGGAGTTAAAAGTTTGTCATCTTATATATAAAGTAGATGTTCCCTCATTTTGTGAATCACAAATGTTTTCCATCTGATTTACGGTTGTGATTTCCATCATGGGACCTTGATCTTTGGTCTGTCGACTTTTGATGTTGAAAATTCTACTCTACAATTTAACAAAGTGAGTATTATTGACATTTTTGTCGTTTGAAACAGTATGATGTATACGAAATAACATGGAGAGAAATCAGTCTGTAATCTACCAGAAAATGTACAGGTAGTTTATTACAAGATTTCTGTATTGTAATATAGAGCACCCAGACAATATATCACTGTAAACTATTAAAAATGTTAATAGAAGTCCCTTTTTAAAACTTTTGAGAGTTAAAACATGTCGAAAGAAAGATCAAAATCTTATAAGGATGTTTAAAACCATAAATTAAAATTGAAAACATGAATCAAAAAATATGGAAATATGTTAATGTACGAATATTTTTTACAACATACTTTTGAAATCACTTGCTATGACAACTAATAACAAGTTTAGTCTCACAACAGTCTTGCAAAAGGTTAAAAACATTGTAAAAAAAGATAAATCATATCATAATAATATTATGCATCATAAAAAAAGCAATTATTAAACAATTATGATCATTGGTCTAAAAAAAACTTCACGTGAATTAGAGATCTGCCGCGGGACCCAATCAGATTTCTTGTAGCACAGGAATAAATTTCCAAATAAAGCGCGGGAGCGGTCGGTAACTCTGGTGTAAATTGTACGGGGGGTCTAACAATATCACTCCCGACTCCCGAGCGAGCACGCATTTGTATGTGTGGGAATGAGAGAGCGTGATGCTGTGTAAAGCTTGTTTGTTGCTGTCTGTGTGTGTATGTGTGTGTATGAGAGAGAGAAAGCTACGTGCTATCAAATATACGTGGGAGCGGTCGGGTTTGAACTAAAACCTGTCGGGAGCAGGATTAAAAATGTAGTCCCGCGCAGATCTCCAACGCGATTGGGCATTTCTTTACATTTACAGTTTGTTAATGCTTTTAAATGCGACTTTAATACACTGACACAAAAAATTATTTTGTACAAATATAATTCATGCAAATGTCTAAAACAAAGTTTAAGGCTGATGTCTCATTTTCATAGAAGCATCATATGATTATTTATTTATTTATTTTTGCCTGATTTTTAAACTTTAAGGTCAAAGTTTGCAGTGTTACAATGTTAAAACTTCTTTTTCAAAGGTCTATTGAGCATATTTAAATACATTTCTAAATAAAATTATTAAAATTACAAAAAATATAATATTCCCTGCTGGCACCTTGATGTCAAAACAACATCAAAAATACAGAAAAAAAAAACAAATCAATTTGATGTCAAACCCTGATGTCCATCCGACATCCACACATCGATGTCCTTTTGACCACTAAATTATTAACACTAAACGAATGATAGTATAAGAAAGGTTTTGTTCATCTAAAATCTTCTATCACAAATTTACAATGAATTTTGTATTTGAGTTTGTTTTGCAAACTGTAATCTATTTTTGAGGTGTCTTTTTGACGCCAATGTTAGATGTCAGTTCAATGTCATTTTGACGTTAAGGTTGTCAATTGACAACAAATCTATTTGCATCTTTGATGTTGCTTTGAAATCAGTGTTCTTGCTGAGGTTATCATGTTATACTTTTTTGTGTGTGTGTTAGTGAAAGGGTGGTGCCATTTATCTTCAGCAGATAAGCAGTATCTACCTTCATCATTCTGCGCCTCCTCCTGCACCTCCTCCTCCTCCTCCACTTGCTCTTCTAAGCCACACCATGCAGATTATGTAAGTACAGAAAAACAAAGACACCACAAAGATGGAGACTTAGACACCTGTTCACAGGTGAGACTAGAGGACAATGATGGATTAGTGATGATTTGCAGAACTTTCTGCTCTACTTATTCCATCAGTGTCATTTCTGGGTGTGTTTTGTTGAAACCGATATGACTCCGAAGAGAAGATCAGATTCCACAGTCATAAATCGGCATGACAGTTCAACATGTCTTGTAACCGCACTTGCATGTCCGAACATTGTCAGGATGTTTGTGATTTTATATATGATCTGCAGAGGTTCTCATGTGCAGCACATCCCAAATCTGACAGGTTTTGAAGAATATATTAGTATCTCCAAGTTCAATGTATGACAACATGGTCAGAAATGAGCTTTCTATTTTCCCTCTAGACTTCATTCATTATTTTATAAAATTATTATGTTTTTAATTACTGTTTTTAAATAGCCAATTGTTATAATTACCAGTTTGTGTGTGTGTGTGTGTGTGTGTGTGTGTGTGTGTGTGTGTGTGTGTGTGCTGTCTTTTATGTAAAACACTTTCAGCTGTGACCAATTTAAATAGAGCATCTGATTGGCTGCTCATAAGCTCAACATCAGTGTGATCCTTAATAATAGGCCCAGATAGAATCGGTGGATTTTATTTGCGATTTCTGTGCAAAATTCAGTAAAAAAAAAAAAAAAAAAGGAGTCGTTTTATATACAGTAGAATTATTTTTAGAATATAGAATATTATACAATAAATAAATACTTAACATTTTTTTAAAGGGTCATGTGTCAGGGTTCTGCCACTTTGGTCTTGAAAATTCTTGTTTTGGTGGCAGAGCTCTGACACTTCTCATGTCTGGTCCTGTTTCTGTCTCTGTGTGAGCGCGCGCCGTCGTGGGTGTACGTAGAGTGTGCGCGCTCCTGCTTGACGCGGCCGCGCGCGCGCTCTGCGTCCCTCAGACGCGTGCGCTCTTGTACTCGTGTTTGTGTTTTCGTCTTTCAGCAGCGTGGTGTTTCATTCCCAGCGTCTCAGTCTTGTTGGTTTCGGTTTTGGTCGGCGCTGGGATGAAGCATGCACGCTGCGTGTGTGAGCGCACGGTGAGTTTTCATTCATCGTGTGCTCAGTCTTGCGTCTTTTGTCAAAGCACGTGGCTCGGTGTTTACATTGTGGTCACGTGCTTTTGTCGTGTGCTTCAGTATTGTGTTATGTGAGCGCATGGCTTGTATTGTCTCTCTGTGTCATGCGCTCTCCCGTCTATTGTCTAGTCCCACCCTCCTTGTTTACCCATCATTAGTTAATTGTGTTCACCTGTGTGTCAATTTACTTTTTGCTTTATAATCCCCCTCATGTTTTCAGTCCTTTGTCAGTTCGTCGTCAATATTACCCTGTCTTGTTGTCTCCAGTCCTGTTTTGTCCTGCCAGCCCTGTCAAGTTTGTGTTTGCCTTTTTAATTCATGTTTTCCCCTTCGGGGTAGTTTTGTTTTGCCTTTTATTTTTATTTGTAGTTTATAATAAATATTTCTACATTTTTTCTGCAATTGGGTCTGCACTCCTTTTTTTTCCCTCACCGATCGTGACATCATGAAACACCAAAGCACATGTTTTGAGCTGTTGACAGTCATATATGTGTCTCACACTGCTAAAAACACTATTAGGACACATATATTTCACTAAAAAGTGAAAATAGTTTTTTTTTTTGCGTTATTTCGAGCTAATTTGTTCATCCAGTTTGAAACAAATTTCTAAAGCTGCGTCACAGCGATTAGATACTTGTATGTATTCCAGCGTGTAGACTGGCTGTCTGTACCTGCCAGTACTTTGTGACATCTCTGAGTGTGCAGCATTAATTCATGTGAAAGACTTGGTTCAAACCAATCAGTGCGCTCTATTGTGTATGCGGTGCAACTTCATTAATATGCATGATAGCTTCAAGGACTGAAACAGTGTTCGGACGGCAGAGAGACGCCACGTTGTGTTGCCAAAACAAGTGGAGTGGAAGAACAAGAACTGTTTGGAGACACTGGTCGTCAGTGTTGTGTTTTTAAATGTGCTGCAACGAAGGTTTTGTTTTCATTTTCCCACTTCGAGAGCACAGCTGGACTCACGTGTGGATTACAGTGCACGCAACACGCGGCAGAAATATGTTTGTACGGAACATTTTTTACCCGAGAGCTTTCCGCCTCTGGAAATGGTGAAATCCAGATTTGCCACTCATCTCCTTTTAACAAAGACGCGGCTCCAATTGCTGTTGATTGTCCTGTCTCTACAGATTTGGTAAGCGATCAGTGGTCTTTGTTTGTTTATTCAAATGGCAAAGTTAGTTTGCATCGTCAGTAGTTCTTTACAAAAAGTATAGTACATAAATCTTCTAGGCGTTTGCATATACTTCCATAATATTACTGAAATTAATATAAAAACTGACTAGACATATATTTTTCTTCTGATTTCTACAGGCGCACATTCCATCTGGGCCTAAATGATATGCTAATCATGTTTAAAAATTAGCATTAAACCACATATGTAGTTTAGTTTAACATTTTGCCCCTTTATCTGACTTTTGTTGAGCTTTGTAGTAAACTTTGGTATTATTTTTACCACAAAACCTTCACTAACTAAAACCCTGATCCAAATAGTTTAAGAATATGTGTGATTTTATTTTAAAATTCAGTAGCTTCTATGTTTACAAGGTGTTATTCTCTTAGCTCATGTTTCTCTTATTAAAAACATGGTACATTTTAGCCTACAAACACCATCATCACTATATAGCCAATTTGCTGCTCCACTTCTCAATCTAACACATTAAAAGTCCCGCAAATTAGCCGCAAGGTCAATATTTATGACCTACTTTAAACAAAACCAGCATTATCTTGTTTATAGTGCATGTATGAAAGTAATATTATGGAACATAAGACTTACCCTCCTGCTCCCTAGAGAAGAAGACAGAATAGAGCTGTTATTTCCATTGTTCTCATAGCTCAAGTACTTTCCTGACAGCTGTGTGAACTCTCAGATTAAACAGACTTATCAGATGAGTGACATATGGTATTAAAATAACCTATAGCTCTTATGACTGCGACATACACATAATGCAATATATTCATACATGTCTCTGGTTAGGATGTAGATGTAATATCTCTGGGTAAAAAAAGCTGATAATAATATATTGTTACAGACAAATTCATAAAGGCCATATTATCACTAATGAAGGGGTGATAACTAAATGAGAAAAACACTTACTCGTACTCTTCCACTTCTTCGTTGTCTGACATGTTTGCTCTGTCCAAAAAAAAAAACAAAAAAAAACAAACAACATAAATTTAAGGATTGTTATATATTATATTATGGCGACGCAGTGGCGCAGTAGGTAGTGCTGTCACCTCACAGCAAGAAGGTCGCTGGTTCAAGCCTCGACTGGGTCAGCTGGCATTTCTGTGTGGAGTTTGCATGTTCTTCCTGCGTACGTGTGGGTATCCTCTGGGTGTGACGATTTCCCCCAAAGACATGTGGTACAGGTGAATTGGGTAGGCTAAATTGTCCGTAGTGCATGCGTGTGAATGAGTGTGTGTGTGGATGTTTCCATTAGATGGGTTGTCTGCTGGAAGGGCATTCGGTACATAAAACCATGCTGGTTAAGTTGGCGGTTCCTTCCGCTGTGGCTACCCCGAATTAATAAGGGAAGCCAAAAAGAAAATGAATGAATGAATTTTATATTATATAATATAAATAAATAAATAAGCAATAACTAACTAAATAAATAAATAACTAAAATAAAATAAATAAATGAGAAACTAACTAGCTAAATAAATAAATAATTAATAAACATTTTGCTTGGCAGTGTGTACTATTAATGGATATTATTACAAAAATCCATTACCAAAAATGTGAACCACAAATAAATAAGTTAAATCATTTTCTAAATAATCAGTATAGTTGTTAAATGATCAAAATCTCTACAATAATTGTTTTCTTTCTTTCTTTCTTTCTTTCTTTCTTTCTTTCTTTCTTTCTTTCTTTCTTTCTTTCTTTCTAAATAAATAAATAAATAAATAAATAAATAAATAAATAAATAAATAAATAAATAAGCAACTAACTAAACAAACAAACAAACAAACAAACAAATGACTAAATAAGCAACTAACTAAACAAATAAATAAATAAACAAACAAACAAACAAACAAACATTTTGCCTGGCAGTGTGTACTTATTTATTCATTCATTTTCTTTTTGGCTTAGTACCTTTATTAATCTGGGGTCACCACAGTAGAATAAACCCCCAACTTATCCAGTAAGTTTTTACGCAGCGGATGCCCTTCCAGCTGCAACCCATCTCTGGGAAACATCCACACAAACTCATTCACGCTCATACACTACGGACAATTTAGCCTACCCAATTCACCTGTACTGCATGTCTTTGGACTAGGGAGGGACACCGGAGCACCCGGAGGAAACCCACATGAACAGGGGGAGAAAATGCAAACTCCACACAGAAACGTCAACTAACCCAGCCGAGGCTTAAACCAGCAACCTTCTTGCTGTGAGGCAAAAGCACTACCTACTGCGCCACTGCGTCGCCCGGGCAGTGTGTACTATTAATGGATATTATTTACATAAATCAATTACCAAAAAATGTGAACCACAAATAAATAAATAAAAACATTTTCTAAATGATCAGTATAGTTGTTAAATGACCAAAATCGAAACAATAATTGTTTCTGTATATGGATCTAATAATGCCATACTTATTCTAATCGGCACATATTAAAATCTAAAACTTAAGTGATCATACAGAATTTTTTAATTGACTTTAAATGATTAAATAATATTCAGTACATTGAAAACTACTGCTAGACTAGAAATATGTATAATAATAATCCATATTTTATGGCTGCTCTGTGATCTTAAAAAGATTTTTCAAATATGTCATCAAACAATTCTAGCTCTAAATAAAACTAACAATACATTTGACAAATAAAACCATAATTACACTGAATTAGTATAACGTAAAGTGTAAAAATATGTAACTAAAGACATTAGGGACTGTCTTTAAAACATCCTCATAGAAATACCATCTTTGACCCACATAACACAACAATAATATCCTTCACAGCACATAATGCTCTTACCTGATCTGACACGCAGCAGAGATGCAGAGGAAAACCAGCTCAGCCTCTCCTCTGGATTCTTATATGTGAGGAGCTGTGGGTCACTCTTCTCACTCACTGGGTTTATTTTTACCCTCACTGATAAGTGGAGAACAGTCCTGCTCCCTAAAAGGCTGCAGCAATTGTTATAGTGAGGAGTATGGAGATAAACACAGATATCAACACAGGTCTATTCTGCTGTCGTCTGATAACACGTGCACTGGTTAATCTCTCAGCGCTTTCTTCATGTTTGCTCACGCCACCAGACTGGCACTGAAGGCCTTCACATGTCCCAGAGGATGTTGTAAGGGCTTCTATGCCCCTATTTACATGATTTAAATTAAGTCTTTGGTGTCTCCAAAATCTGTGGTTGATGTTTCAGCTCAAAAATCCATTTGGGGTTAGAGGGAATTTTAGCTGTATTGTGCCTGTGCCTTTAAATGCAAATGAGTTCTCCCCACCCACTGTACTGGCATGTCAGGTGTCCTGACATACAGCTGAAGTTTGAATTATTAGCTCCCCTGAATTATTAGACTGCTTGTTTATTTTTTACCCAATTTCTGTTTAACGGAGAGAAGATTTTTTCAAGACATTTCTGAACATAATAGTTTTAATAAGTCATTTCTACTAACTCATTTACTTTATCTTTGCCATGATGACAGTACATAATATTTAACTAGATATTTTTCAAGACACTTCTATACAGCTTAAAGTGACATTTAAAGGATTAACTAGGGTAATTAGGTTAGGATAATTCAGCAAGTTATTGTATAACAATGGTTTGTTCTGTGAACTATCGAGTATAACTTAAAGGGGCTAAAAAATTTTGTCCCTAAAATTGTGTTTAAAAAATTAATAACTATTAATTCTAGCCGAAATAAAACAAATAAGTCTTTCTCCAGAATAAAAAAATATTATCAGACATACTGTGAAAATTTCCTTGCTCTGTAAATCATCATTTGGAAAATATTTAAAAAAGAAGAAAAAAAAATCGAAGAGGGCTAATAATTCTGACTTCAACTACATACACAGCAAATTCATCAGAGTTAAATTCTTGGTGTTAAAGCATTTCAGAGTAAAGTATTGACATTATAGAGTTAGATTTTGATAAATGAATAAGAGTTAGAATTGATTTGATTCAGTGTGAAATCAAGGAATTATCTATCCAACACTTGGTGTTATTTCCAACATCCAGGAATTCAAGCAGCCCCAGTAACTGAAGAACTTTATCGACACCATTTTATCTGAGTTTTAGAACAGCAACAGGTGAGTCAAATTACATCAATGTTGGCATTTTACTGACTTTCTCTAAGGAAATCCAGTTGTAAATATATTAAGTTAATTACTTTAAATGAACCGCCAAGGTTTAAAATTGTCACTCCATTCTATTGTTTGTGTATCTAACTTAACTGCATTGCTATTGACTTCATTTTCAAGAATGTTTACATGCTCACACATACATAGAGCATAAAAACATCAAATGTACATGTTCAACACATTTCTGTCACGGCAAATGCCATTTGTGTGTTGTTACCCACCTGTAAAATAAAATCGAAACTTCTCCTTTAATTCGAAGTGCTCTAAAGAGCGAGGGAATCTCCAGAGCCGCCTCCTCTGCCTGGATACTAATGGCACCACAGGACGGTTTCTTTGAGTTTTGGAGAGTTTCTGAAACATATCTGGTGAATAAATCAACATATACTTACTTGTAAAAGGCTTCCTGACTATATGATTGTTTTATTATTTGTGTATGTTAATTTAGTTATTCCAAACGCCGCGGCACTTTTAAACTGGGCCATTCATGGCCGTCCATGTAACGTTAGTCAAAGACTTGTGTGAAAACTAGGGCCAGACAGAATCTGTGGACATTTTTTGTTATTTCTGCGGAGAATTTTGGTAAAAATCTGCAGATTTCTGCAGAACTATTTTGGGAGTATCATAACTAAAACCTTATTATGTGAAATAAAAAGTATTTTATATATATATTTTTTTACTTTTATTTACTGTTTGAAATGCAAATCCAATTAGATTCACTTTATTTGGTAAACAAAGCAAGTCTCTCACATAATAAATCTACTAAAAGAAAATATTACTGTACAAACTGCATTGTAAATAAATCAAATGAATATTTTCATATTAGTCAATAATATTACAGTAATTAATAAAAAAAAACTGAATAAATATAGATTTACATGCATTTACTCAAGTAAATAAACAGAATTGATGATGGGCAAAAAATCTGCGGAATTCTGCAGAAAATCTGCAGAATTCTGCGCGCGCAGATTCCGTGTGGGCCTTGTGATAACATACGCTTGAATTATATTTAGTGTTAACAACTATAAAAGTTGGATCATTAACGTTAATGTATTTAAATGACCACATTTGCACTCTCTTAGACATATAACATTAGTTAGGCTAGTTCTGTAGTCAGGAACATCTTAGTCAACTTTTTTTTCTCCCGCATGATATTGTGCTTAAAACTATAGGCTTAACTTTGCATATACACAACATTTTCGTTTCGTTAAAGGCATTTAGTGCGTTGTAAACAGCCACCTTTCTGTAAAATTAATCAACTGATTCATATTTTAGCAGCCTAGTTCTACCTACAGCTGTAATGCTTTGAGTGGTTATGAGTTACATTACTGTCTTTTCTTTATTAAAAACATGGTGCTCCAGTTTCCCCCACAAGTCCAAAGACATGTGATACAGGTGAATTGGGTAAGTTAAATAGTCCATAGTGTGTGTGTGTTTGTGTGTGAATGAGTGTGAATAGACGTTTCCCAGTGATTGGTTGCGGCTGGAAGGGCATCCACTTCGGGAAAATGTGCTGGATAAGTTGGCGGTTCATTCCGCTGTGGCGACCCCAGATGAATAAAGGGACTAATCTGTAAAATTAATGAATGAATATATATTCCTTAGGCACATTATTGTTAAAGAATGATGAAACAGATCCACTGATATAAAATTTTTATTCATAGACAAGCAAATCCCTCTGGGCAGAAACAGTAATTACACGACAGATCTTTCAGTTTTTTCCAAAAGAAGAAAAAACGCTGACTTTGGCTGAAGTGGAATGGATTGAAGTCAGTTAGTAAAAGGCTTAATAGGACACATTTAGCTTGTCAGTCATTGAATTACATTTCCTAACTGTGACTCGTCTTCGGCAAGTTGAAACAACAGCTGCAGTGAAAGCACAGGTCAGTTTTAGATGTCAGTTTACAGTTTCATTAAACATCAATTTCCAGTACGTTTATTAAAACAGACATTATTGATATTACAGTTGTGCTCTTGACAGGTATGAGTTTATGCCTTCTCCTGATAACTCACTTACGCACATCTAGTATTTCACATCGCAGAGGAGTGGTAAAAACACAAAGGATCAGTATCAGTGTGTTCCTGCTGTCAGATGAACTCTCTGATCTGCAGTTTCTGTTTCACCTACAGTATAAAGACGCTGTAATGCAGTCCACTTTTTTTCAAAGAAACAACCAGCAGTGCAAGCCTTCAATTAACCCCAATAATCTTATTCGGTACTTTTAAATTAACTATAATGTAGAGAAGCAGAAGGAGAAGGAGTTTAGAGACAGTCCTCAACACTGACTGTCTGAGAGAGTCGATTCCTTCAAAATCTTCAGAGATCAATTATCAGACGTATCTCAGGAAAGCTGGAAACAGACAAAAAACACAGGATATGGGGATTTCGTTCAAAAGAGCATGCATTAATGACAATTATAATCCGGTACAATGCCATGCTACCAAATCTGTACTAATAACCATCATAATGAATTCAAAATCTGATTTCATGTTCATAGAATTGCTTCCGTAAAAGATTCATGACTAGCAATTTTCAAGTAAAACCTTATTGTTTCTAATTAGTAACTTGTAAATGTGAATTAAAAGGTTTTTTAATGCTTTTACCATGGTATCATTGCATTATTTAGACCTTGTTTACTAAGTAAAACATTAAGCAATTGCTTGGAAATGAAAACTATACTACACATCCCAGTATTGATTAATATTATTTGCAAGATTATATATGTATATAATCTGTGTTTGCTCAATAAAACGCCATTAAAACTAAATTGCAAATAAATAATATGAACATTTTAATATTAGCCAATCATATTACTGAAATTGATTAAAAAACTCAATTAATATAAATTTACACACGAGTATATAAATAGACTCAATGATGGGCTAAAAATCTGGGCCTGGTTATGAAAAGGCTAAACATATTTAACACATTTTTTTGACAATGTTTTACTTCACAGACATTTTTGTGAAAGGTTATTAGGCATTTAAAGGTATTCCAACCATAACCATCTGGCCATCCCCAACATTATCCATATAAGGAATGTGTAAAACAAAATTTAATTGGTTACATCTCTTTAAGCAGTAGGTGTCAAAGTCAATTCCTGGAGGGCCACGGCTCTGCACAGTTTTGCTCCAACCCTAATCAAACACAGCTGATTCAAATATTCGAGGTGTTCAAACGAATCTTGAACACCTTGATTAGGGTTGGAGCAAAACTGTGCAGAGCTGCAGCCGTCCAGGATTTGATTTTGACATCTATGTCTTAAAGGAAAATTCCACTTTTTGGAAAATAGGCTCATTTTACAACTACCCTAAAGCAAAGAGCTTAGAATCACCTAGAGGTGACACTCAGTAGAACGTTCCATTGCAGCAGCAGCGCCCAGCAACAGCCCCGGATTCCACCATTTTGGAGTGAAAGCGATCGGCCGTCCATTGGATCTTATTGCTGTCGTGATGGCAAGCAGCTGCTTTGTTTTTTATTTATTTATTTAAAAAGCGCATCAAAGCTGAGATACAACCAGAAAGACGGCAATAGAACACTTATTATCACAATCATCAGCACTTTTAATAGTTTATTTTACAGACTTATAATATGCTGTTGTTCTATTGGAGTTTTGATTCCAAAATGGCAACCGCACCATCTAGTGGCTGTTTCCCAAATTGCACTAGAGTGTCGCCTCTTGGTGATTCTATGATCTTTGCCTAGAGTTATAACTATAACTCTATAACTCTATAATATAATATATATATATATATATATATATATATATATATATATATATATATATATATATATATATATATTT